ACCATAACGCTACAGATCCCGTAATGCAAAAAAGGTGCAATTTACGGCGCAATCTTTTCTGCGCTCTTTTGGAGAGAATTACTCCACTTCCCAGCATCGTTCAATTAACTAATCTTCAATACCTAATTCTAGGCACATTATTTAACTAATCTTTATAATTTATCCATCTCCAAACTCTTTATAGTCGTCTCTACAAGTGATAAACTCACTTGATTAAACTTATTTGTTAGATTGCTGAAAATTCACTTCAAGCGAGTTTATTGCCTATAGAGAAAACTGTAAATTGTTGGGAGGTAGATAAAATATACATATTGGCTATATAATCTGTCTAGAATTAGGGAGTGAAAGGTAGTTGATTAACCAATGCTAGAAAGTGGAGAAATTCTCCCCGAAAGAGCGCAAAAAATATTGCGCCGTAAATTGCACCTTTTTTGCATTACGGGATCTGTGGCGTTATGGTCAAAGAGAAATATATAAAACCATAACAGATCTGCAGCTAGGGTAACTGTTTGCTATAAGCTTGTCAAAACTAGCGACAAACTTGCTGCAAACACAAAGGTTTTCAAAGTTTGTTGTGGTTTCTTTAGCTTCGTTGCTGCAAAGGATCCTTTGCAGCAATGTTTGTAGCAAGTTTGAACCAATGTATGTTGAAGACTTGCAGCAAATGTTTGCAGAGAGATCATATTTCGTTCTTAGATAGACAATCATCTTCTGAAATAATAAATTATATAAAGTATAAAGATGTCTGACAACAAGTCATATTTTTGTCAGTGATCTTGATAAGAAAAAAAACGTTTAAAAAGTAGAAATCCAGATTAAAATAAATGTGTTACCGATTGCCATTATCTGTCGTCAGTGTTTGCCACAGAAACGAACATCTGTTGTTCACGACAGCCAAAATGTCTTGACCCATCAAAATCAAACACTTGCAGCACACTTGTTAAACAACAAAGTCCATCCACATTATAAAGTTATGGTGTAGAGAGTCTAAATTAATTATATACAACAGGAAATAAGACCGCAGAGTAGTAGTTTTTATTTTTTAAGCTGAGTTTAACCAATTTTTCTTGAATAACGATTGAAATTTAACTTTATTCTGTTCTTATTTTGTTTCAATAAGAAATAATTGTTTTATATTCAACAGAAAAATAGTTTAAGGTTATATCAACACGGGAAACCACCAAACGAAAGTAAATGAATGTTATAAATAGTAAAAATTATATCAATTAGGTCTCTGTCATAGCGATTGATAACTTTGCCGTCTGTTGTCACAGTTGCATCGGTTGTCACAGTTGCCGGTAATAGGGTGTGCAGGTAACTTTTGGACATTTAAACGGCAATGTTTTAAGTAAGATATATGCCTCATACTATTCTATATGTAAAATTATCAGACAGTTTTCGGCCCTAACGGGCCTCAAACAGTCTGATAATTTTATATATAGAACAGTATTCGGCACATATCCATTACATATCCAAGTTGATTCGATACGCAAGAGCAAACTCTACGTATAAACGATTTCTAAAGCAAGGTATATTATTGACAAACAAGTTAATAAAACAAGAATTTTAGCAGTCTCCTTTATCATTGAATTAAATCCTGACTGACGTTTTTCATACTAATTGTTAGTCCATTATTTATACACTGAATTGACGACGGATTTTTCCGTTATTTACCGATCGTGGCAAGGAACACACGGCAAGTGTGACGAGTAGGCAGGGGATGCTCACTCCTCCATGGCATCTAAACACACCTCTATTGTTTTGGAGGTCCATGTTTGCTCTGCTCCTAATTTGCATTGTTTTATGGACTTTTTATCTTGAATACAGTTTGTTATCTCCCTATGTTTCATTGTTTGTTGTATTTTTTTAAAAATAAATTTGAATATGAAGCACTCTGTATACTTCATCAATGAAATATGAAAATAACGAAAAAAAGTAATCAAATTCAAAAGTCTATTGTAACAAGACAAAATTGGAGCAGAGCAAACATGGGCTTCTAAAAACATCAGAGGTGAGATAGGTTGTCATGAAGGAGTAAGCATCAATTGACATAATATTCCTGTGTATGCTCAGTGCAACATTAAAAATGCATCACTGAACTGAAATGATTTGTCTTTAATAAATTATTAGTGTATGTATCCTAAACTTTCTTAAATGCATCCCTTAAGGATCTCCAAGATTAAGATTTATAGATTAGTAAAGTAATGCATAAACAAAACAATTCAAAAGATATCTACAGAAATTCTTAATGTTGTAGGTCAGTAAAATGGAACTCGCAAAGGACTACTGACAGATAAGTTGATGTCACAACAATCTTGTTTATAGTCACCAGTAACTAAACCTTGTCAACAGGGGATGATTACTACCCCAAGGCACTTGTTCCCACCAATGGAAATTCTGAAAGTCCATGTTTTATGCTCTTTTTACATAACTATACATGTATTTGTAAATTTTATGAGATCGATCACAGTTCATTACCTTCACCTTTTTCATCTTATGTCATAGGACAAAAGAAAAAAGCTTTCAGATAAGAAATAATATCCCAAAGAATTTATAAATTTCTTTCATTATTATACTTCTGTTAAAATGTTTTCTATATAAAGTTCAGAAGGCAAAATAACTATCCTGTATAATCAACGAATAGCAAAGCTATACCCAGGGGTATAGTTTTTGCTATCCACCCTCGGAAAATTTTCATGCAATTTTTGCCGCAAATTTTGATTTCCAGCGATAAATATTTAAACTGATGATGTCATAATGACTTCAGTAGCATTGTGACGTCATCAGGATTTCAGATTATTCTTGCGGAATTATCTTACTCCAAACAAATTCAAACCTCAGAAATCATATTATACATCAGTATAATAAAACGCTTATCCACTGGGTGTGAGTGGGATAGCTCTTTTATCAAACCCTTGACAGGAACTATTCCCCTCGGGCAAGCCCTCGGGGAATAGTTCTCTGTCGCGGGTTTGATAAAAGAGCTATCCCACTCACACCCAGTGGATAAGTGTATATTATCTACTCTGGAGAAAAGGTGCTCCATAGTTGGAGGAAGAAGAATAAAAACAATATATGCATGTCTATAATTCATAATAATCTACATAAAGATAAAGACGAGACATTATCACAGATAAAGATTTTTCAGAAAAAAGGGTACATAATACAACTTCAGATAATCCAAACAACATTAAAAGCAACGTAATGGATAACAGGTGTTGATACAACCTATAAAATAATGAAAACATTCACTTCCCTCAGTTATCTTTATGATATGTTACATAATCCATGATTAAAATTGCTTGAGATTTTGTACTGTAATATGAAGATCTTAGAGGATTCTAAAATACTCATATATACATATTTTTCAACATAGAAAAGGGTAATCTCAGACCTCAATCTTCCAATATGCAAAAAAAATTAAGTGATGATATATAACCAACACTAATCACACCATCCATCAGTAAGACAGTGCTTCACCAATCTGGACAGACAATCAGAGTAAAATCACTGTAAATGAAGGATTTAACATTACATGTACTTAATTATTTCTGAAAACCTGGAGTGATAAAAGTGTGTCATTCAGTATCTGCTATATTGGTGTCCAGATTCGCAAGACACTACTGGGTCAATATTTGCACTAACAAAAAAGCATTGTCTGTTCACATATAAATCTTTCTCTTAGTTAGTACTTACATTGTGCTTTAAATTTTGATTAATTATGATTACAACAAAACATACAGTATATGTATATGAAAAAAATATACCCTACATCAGCAACAAATTATCATATACAATATTATTCTCACAAAAGAGCAATTTTTTTAAAGGACGGAATGTATTTGCACATAATACCAGTGTTACAAAAAAAATTACTTGGATCTTAGATAATAAATGATTCAACTAGAATTCACAACTGAACTAGTTTATCATTATTATTATTACAAATTTACTGAATTACAAAAAAGAAAATTCTGAGATGTAAAAACTTGACCCTCCATTATCTGTCATCTAAACATATACAATGAGATTTCCCTTCGAATATCTCCAAATCAGACATGCAAGGCATTAAAAAATTCATACATTATGAATACTACAAGTCAATTAAATGCACTTCATACATACACAAAAAAAATCATTTTCTTTGCCTTGTGAATCAATATTTTCAAAATACTAATTAAACATAAATATAATGTCAGAAAAATTGCACTTTTTATGAAGTAATCAAGTTTGCAACATATTCAACACCTAAAAAATATCATTTTCATTTCACAACACAGAATAGTTTTGATTTAATACAAAAGTGGCATTTCTTTTAAGCATTTCAAATACTTGTATACTAGTTGTCTTCTTTTTTAATTATGAAGAGGACCACACAAGAAGATGGTGGTATATACTCTTCATTTTCTTTCTATATTCCTTAAGGTATTCAATCCCTAATGGGAACAAATTCAGTGAAATTTAATACATAACTGATATGTAGGCACTGAATACTCAGTTTATTTAGACATATTTCCCATTTATTACTATTAGTATGTATAGTGGGATGTGTCCTAATTTATGACCTTGAGTTTTGGTGAGAGTTATCTCCCCTTATTTTAATTAATAAAAAAAATCAATAAAAAAAAATTAAGCCGGTAAAAAAATTGTTTTCAATTGCCATTCTATTTTTAATGTTTCAATGCATCTTTCCACGGCAGGATTTATTGATATTCAAATTATTCTAATTTTTATTTTGAAAAAACTTTTTTCCCCATAGACTTCAATGCAATCTTTGTTAATTAACTACTGCTTAATTAATGACATTTTTAAAAATTTCTCACGGGCAATCCTTTTCCACTATAAAATGCTTTAATATGATATCAGTGAATTATACACTTGACGGACATTTAAGGGTAGGGAATTAGGTCCCATTAGGGATGGAAATCCTTAATGAACATGTACAAAAATGCTAATAATTTCAAACTTACATGAAATAATGAGTAGCATTATGCTAATCTTCAGTCTTGTTTTATTTCTTTTAAATAATTGAATAGTTTACTTTAGAGTAAACTAAGAGTAAAAAGAATAAATTCTTTCTGTACAATATAATAATTTGTTTTGTGCTTATCATTTATCATGTACTCTGTCGTATTTTTTGGGGGGTGGGGGTCTAGTGTATTTTGCAGAAAACTACCTTTCATGGATATCACATGCCATACTAATGAATTTACAAGCCAACAATGTATGAAAAACTTGAACCATTAATTTAGATATTTTCCACCATGTTTTAAGTTTATTTTCTATTCACCCAAGGTTCATCGAATGTGAAATTAAGTCTTTGGAAATACTGTGAAACCATTTAAATTTCGTTGTGGACATGAATTTGATCTTCATACCTCAAAAACTTCGAAAATTAAACCCCAACAAAGAATAGTGATTTCACAGTATGTCATTTGAGTTTGAGCTTTCTGGTTATTTCGCAGAGAGGGGGGATTTTTCTCAGATATGACAATAAATATTAAATAAAACAATGACTGAATTTGACAGGAATTCCAAGGATGCTGTTTTACACATCAAAATTCATGGACAACAATCAATTTACTGAAAATACTCCGTAGCATGAAGTTTATCTATGATCACAGAAAAAAATCAAATAAAAGACTTTCTTAAAAAGTCCCTCTGTCAAATAGCATCATCCTGCTCAAGAAAGCAAGTTACTGTACACTCTAACTAAATATCAAACAACCTTCTTTTTCCCCTCCACACAATCATTCTTAGAGGTAACTACTATGAAAAAAGTAACAATAATACTAGTACAATTTTTTGCTGAGTCTATTGGGAGACAGGTTTCCAAGAAAATTCTCTCATCATTTAAACATAGCCCATTTTTTCTTCAGATATAAAACAGCCAGATATGTAGATCTCACCATCCAAATGTTACTCAACATCGTCAACTTTCTCGTATCTGAAAATGAAACATAACTAAAAATAAAAGATTTATTTTATAAAGATATTTTTGAAAATAATTAAAATCAGGAATATGAATACAAAAAACAGGCATGCCTACATTAAAGATAGTCAGGTATCAGTTATCTGGTTGCCAATAATGCGGATACTTTAACTTCAAGACAAATTTGTGGTGAAAAGAATTTACATTTATCATCTTTTTAAACTTGCTTTTGATTTACCGTATAGCGGGTTTTCTTGGCGGCTGTGAAATTTGGCGTTTTGCCTGCTCAAAGGTATGCCCATAATTTTGGCTTTATTTTAGCAGACACAAGGTTTCAACTCTTTGCAGATGGACACTAAGAAGAGTACTGACTATTTTAGCGATTAACATGTTTAGCGGGGATTATCATCAAAATGCCAAAATAAGACAAAATTAGCAACCCGCTAAAATAACCCGCTATACGGTATAAGGTTCTATAATCGTTATATATTGTACCTTGTTTTTACATTTTAAGTGCTGAAGGGTAATTGTAAAATTAGATAAGGAGCTATGTAAAAGAATAATAATTTATATCAGCTTATTTGAAAAGTAACAATTCAGTATTCCAGGTGTTTCGTTAATCTGCACAATTCGCTCAGGAACACAATTGTCCAGACTTATGAGGCTTATATCTGTATTTATAAAATGGTGGTGTTACTTACTTTGCTAGTCTCTTTCTGAGATCCTTCAGTTGGTCGTTTTTCTTCATCAGCATCTGCTTCAGATTTTTGAATGGGTTGGTTTGACTGACTTTCTTCTCAAGTTCCTACAAAACACCTCAATTTGAAAACTTTCCCCATACATTTTAACACCTTTTAATATTTATACATAGATAATACATTATTTCCCAACATATATAAGAATAATACTTTATTAATACTCATCACAGTGCACAAATGATCTGTTACAATCCTTTTATGTGCTATGGATTTCATGTATAAAATCTCCTGTACATATTCATGTTTTTACATTCATGATACACATGTTGGTCAAGCTTTTTCTCATACAGGTGACTCTCGATCTCTCGAAGTTCAAGGGACCGCGAGAAAAGTTCGAGAGATCGAGGGGTTCGAGAGATGGAAAGTAAATAAAATCCGGAATTTTCAGTTCTGATCATCGAAGTTCTTCTTTTACAGATACCGGAAATAAATGTAAATCAAGTCATTGCACGTTTTCAATCACATTTTACAGGTAATTTACTTGATATCAACAACAATGATTGTATTTTGAATAAATAAAACGAATTCCTAAAGATTCAATATTTATTTGATCCTATTTCATGATTACACGAAACCCGAATAGCAATTGTAGTTTGGCTATTCCGCGGCTTGATCGGGTCCTTCAACAGTGTTCACCAGATTTTTCTTTATCGGTATTCTGTTCTTGAGAAAAGAATTTCTTGTGTAATATTTTCGATACTGGGATTATGTAGACTCTATATAATCATAATGAAAGTTCATAGTCTATGGGAACTTACTGAAATGAACATGTATAAATTAATTTCCAAAAAAAAAATAGCGTCTCGGTTTCAATTCAAAATAAGTTGTGAATTTGTTTCTAATTTACCCTGTGAATAATAACCAATTAATTATAACAACACACGGACGACCCACAGGTGTAGTGTCATCTATGTAAACACCCAATTAACACCTCTATGCCAGCCAAAGGCATTCACTGTTTCCAGGTAAGTCCAGACTGCATCAATTTTACGCTTGATTGGCGTGTATACACGCGCAATCAAAACTTCGAGAGATAGAGAGTAAAATTCAATGAAATATGTGTAACGGGACCCAGGTTTTGGTTCGAGAGATAGAGAACTTCGAGAGAAAGTTCAAGAGATCAGGAGTAAATTTGCTTGGTTATATAGAGGAAAAAACGGGACCGGAGGTTCACTTCGAGAGATCGGAGTTCGAGCCATCGAGAGTCACATGTACTTTTAAAATACCTTTTCTGCCATTTCCAACATTTCTCTAATTCGAAGCAACTCATGTTTTGTTGACACTAAATCTTTCTCCATTGCATTTGATGAACTGGCACTGCTCCTTTTTGTCTACAATGGATATATACCAGTAAAGGTACATGTATATATAATAATTGCTGATTCTGTTTATAACTTTATGCCAGAAAAATAAATAACAGAAATTTTGTAAAAATAGAATTTATGCTTGACATGTTTAATGATGCATTATGGTACATAGCTTGATACACTGCTCACAATATGAAAATGTAATGGTTCAATGAAAAAAAACCTAGGCATATATAAATAAATAAATTTTAGTATAATGGGGGGGGGGGGGCTTAATACAATCTTTGTCAATGGTAGATCAGTATTAAATAAAATGCTTTATTTGCATTTAGATTATGGAAATTATATCTTTTCTAAGATAAAAAAATATGTTGAAAATTTGGCATAAACTAGACAAGTTAAAATACAATACCTCAGAAGAAAATAATATATAAAACTTACACTATCAAGATCTGATTCAAGACTGGACAATTTCTTTCTTAGATCATCCACTTCTCCATCATTCTGAAATAAGTTGATGTTAAACAAAAATAAATTGTTAGTAAACATCAGTGTCCTTTACCAAAAGTTTGATAAGTTTTATTTATTTGGACTTGATTGGATCTCAATGAGCTATTACATCCTCAATACTTTGACGAGTGTCCACAGATATTTCATGAAAAGTTTACTGAATTTCTAATCATCACTGTTTCTGACCATACCTGATTTGATCTCCCAGCAACAGAGGAGGTAACAGCACTAGCAGCCACCTATAAGAGATTAAAGCATGACTTATTTACATGTATATTTTATACATAATGATATGAACATTCATACCCTACAACTACATGTACTTTAAATTTCTCATTGCTGATGCACTCTCACATGCGCAATTTACCGAAACAGGCAAAGGCAGTTTTCCAGCAATTATGATCTAATAGCTGTCATATCTATTTCATTACATTGGTGTTAATGGTAAATGCACACACAAGTTTGCTACATACTTCACAATCTAGTACATGAAAATGTAAATGTAAACATTGAGCTTTGGAATTCTCTTTCATAAACAACATATTAACATGGGCAAGAGTGACTTACTGTTCCTCCTAATGCTTTGACTTGTTGCTCCATTTGTCTTGTTTTTTCTGAGAGTTTAAGATTTTCTTTTTCTAATTCCTCAATTTTCTAAATAGAAGAATTAAATTCACTGCAGTAATTGATAATCAGAATATTTCAATAGGTTTAAGCCTCTGGTCATGTGGCTACAACCTACCATGTGTAGTAGAGCTGCTCCTCCAGATTCATTGATTGGAGCTAATTTCATTTTCTTTAATACACTGTTAAAATCTGTGTCTCGTGTTGTCCCAGCAAATTCCTTTTGTTCAAAGTCTGCTATAGTTTCTATTAAATCTCTAAAAAAACAATCATTGGATTCATTCATAATCCAATTCATATATAAAACTTAAAAGTAGCTGAAGTTTGCCAAGTGAAATGAATTTGTTTTACCCCCTCCTCTTTCCCCTTATTGATGGAAATTTCTCACCTATTTTCTAATTCTGAGATATCTGCCTGCAGTTTAAGGTGCCACTTTTCTGCCTGCTGAAACATCTGCCTCAGTAGTAGAACATTTGTATAAGCAGTGTTATCTAACTCCCCCTCCACTTCACCCATCACAACTGATAGCAGCCCATCCAACATGTCCGTCACCTCATCAATGGTGTAGGTCGTTTCATCCAACCTTTTTTTCAGAAAAAAATTAAAGTAAGTCTACTTCATTGTTTTCTTTTTCAGCTTATTCTACATAGTTAATGTGCATTTTTATAAAATTGGATAATTAAGAGAAAAGGATGCATACTGGAACATCCAAATGATTCAGAAGTTTTAGGAATTCTGTATATTGATTATTTTATGGAATTTGGTTTCACCATTGTAGTTCATGTCTCTAGATGGCCATTGCAATCATACAAAGAGTTTGCCTGTCTGTGAGTGATGGGTTTAGAAACTGATTGTTGAAGATTGCATGAATTTGATGGTTTTAGGCCCATTCTTAGGTCCCATGGGGCCATCACCACACCATGCTTTTAATAAATTCTGCTTCTCTTAAGAATTTAAAATAATAATAATTAAAGTATTTCTTGAATTAGTTCAGACACTTTCAAAAGGAACCCAAAATGTTCAAAAGTTTATAAATGACACATATAGGCATGAGGACAGGAAGAATCAGCAATTCACTGACCTGAAATGTGTATAGAAAACATTTGTTAGTTCTCAATGGAGTTTTCTTTTTACCTGCTGTTCTTGAGTTCTTCAAAACACATCTCCACAGCTCTTAACCTCTGACCTCTTTGATAACGGGTAAATCTCATGTAATTAACAACCTGAGCTTGATGATGTTCATTCACTCCAAGATTAGCCTGAAATTAAATGGTTGATAAAAAAAATCTGTTAATAAAAGTTTACATTGTACAAAGAGTTATTTGTGTCCTCGTATGAATTGGAAACAATGCTATATCATTAAGTGATACTGACCTAAGGATCTAGTTTATGATATTAATTCATGTGTGTGTGAAATATAGCCAAAGAATGACAGGTAACTGCAATCTACATTAGCAAGAAATGAATAGAAAAGAATATCTTATATTACCCTTACAAGTAAGAGTCATGGATAACATTACTACTCTCTTTATATATCTCTGATTACGCTGCGCCAAGTCAAAAGTATCTTGCTATGAAACTCTACCAGGCTTGAGTAACCCAGTATGAAAAGGTAATTATGAGCAAGAAAATTGTCAGGGACAAGTGGTATTATATTCTCGTTTTATTCTATAAATTAATTTTCAGAATAATCTCCCAAACTAAAGAAATAGAGTGTGCAATACGAGCTCTAACAAGAAAGCCTGGGGCAGTGCCACAATGAGCAAAGAAAAATTTGGACTTTGCACATTGATCAAAATGATTTTTTCCCACAGTAATCTCTGGACCCACAATCCTTCGTGAATTGCATCCTGTTGCAACTACATTCTTGCAGTAATAAGAAGTTCAATGAAAAAAAATATTTATCAAAATAAACTTGTTTATTGAATAAAACAGATAATTAGTAGATTAAACTTTCTTTATCAAAATTGCACTGTCCAGACTTCATTTTGGTAATAGACATCATGTGTTTATCTTTTTTTATAAGTTAAAAAAATGATAGCTAAAAATAAAGCAAATTCCAAATGTATTAAGTAAAATTGTGGGTTTGTTTAAATGCCCATAAAACATTACGAACGTTTGAATATCCGTCTTTTTATTTTCCGTTGCGGTTAGATTATTGCGTTTACGCAATTCCACATGTTTCCTCCTATATGACAAACGGCAATGAGTTTGTTAAATTTCGGTTTTAGCTGTGACTTACAGCACATTCTAATTTCTACTTATTGTAACAGATGGTTTATTCAGTAGTGAGTATTTGTAAAAGTTATTGTAATGTACATGTAATCTATCAGCCTGGTATTGTGGATGTATGACTATCCAACACAATGTGAGGAAAAATAAAACATGTACACTTTATTTATTCAAGTAACAAATGAAAATAAATTATAAGTTACATAAATTTAATTATGTCAGGTATATATGGCCTCTGAAATTTATACACGACTTGTCGTAAAATACTGAATCAAGTCCTGGACTTGACCATGTGTGCCTGAAATTGCAATGCAAATTTTTGGTAATAGACATCGTGCATGTCAGACAAATATCAAATGGCACATGTGGTTTAAATGCCAGATCCAAATTAAAACTGAATATCTGTGCTTGAAGTTGACTTAACAATCACACAGTCAACATATTATCTCCAATGTTGAAAAAGTAATGTCATATGACATCATTTTGATACTGATTGCCTAGGATTTTACCTTCCAATGCAATGTGAGGATATTATAAAGAGGGCACTTCAATTGAGTAACAAATGCACGTACATGTATTATCTTGAACAAGTTTTAGTGCTTGGTAATATTATTGATGTCTTAAATTTAATGTATAATCAATATTTCAATTTTGGAATAATGACAATCGCATTAATAATGATTAATAACAGATTCCACCACAAACCATTTTTCAGAATCAACAACTGAGAAAATTCGAAATGCATTGACAGTGCCATAACTTAATCAATCATCTATGAAGCTATACTTCAAATGAATAATTCTAAATTTATAACAAATTTACAATACAACGACCTTACCATTTGGACCCAAATGTCAATTAATTATATAAATTAATATCACGAAAAAAAGTTTTTGCGATGTTTTCTTGCCAAAATGTCTTTTTGTACTTTAATTACTGCGTTCCGAACTTAACTGGGGAAAAAACGAATGCCATAATAAGTGAAGGTATGAATAAATATATATAATGGTCGTGCGACCAGCTGATAAATATTATAATAAAAAACACGATGGTCGTGCAAATAGTCACTGAAAAATTAATATACACGACGGTCGTGCAAACAGCCACTGAAAAATTATGTACACGACGGTCGTGCGAATAACCGTTGAGAAGGTAAGTGCACGACGGTCGTGCATATAGACACTGCCTAATATGTATTATCTTGAACAAGTTTTAGCGCTTTGTAATATTATTGATGTCTTAAATTTAATGTATAATCGATATTTCAATTTTGGAATAATGACAATCGCATTAATAATGATTAATAACAATCTCCACCACAAACCATTTTGTGTCAACCTGAGAAAATTCGAAATGCATTGACAGTGCCATAACTTAATCAATCATCTATGAAGCTATACTTCAAATGAATAATTATAAATTTATATTGTGTTTGAACAACAGATTACCATTTTGAAGCTAAAAGTGTAACTAATTAATGCTAATCTTTGAAGATTTTGCAAAAGGCGTCTCTGTTGACAAGAAAATTCCAAATCGAGGTTTCCAATAAAGGTAAGTCGTACGGAAAATTTATTAAGTATGTCGTACATAGAATGTGTATTTACTAAGTGAACAGCCAAGTTGTGTACAATAACATAACATAAAAAAATTTTGGCTATTCATTTAGAATTAAAAATTTTCATTTCAAGTTAAGACACTTACTAAAGATTCAGAGTTCTTACAATATGTAGATCTATAATGATACATGTAAATGATTACAATTATAACAGTTATTTGGGAAAAAAATATATATGACAATAATGATAATAAAGAATAAACATGATCACAAGTAAAAGCAATCATAAACAAAAAAGTTGTACAGATATGATTAAATGACAAAGAAACAGAAAACTTCAAAATCTACCTGAATCACCAATGAACCTTTGGACACAGTGAAATATATTATGATTCACATCAACTGACAATGAATCATTTCCAAATAAAAAGATGGGAGTTGACTATTGCCAAGTGATTATATTGTAAAATATTGTTTAAGAGGCAATTTATGCATATTTTTTACATACAAAAAAGAAATTTTTTTTCAATTTTCACATGAACAATATAGGAGAGTCAATTATATTTCTTATAAAGATCATTATTAAGTATATATATTTTGTGTGAATTATATTTAAATAGCGTTTCCCATATGAAAAATACAAGGTGGCTTTGAGGGATGTGAACATATTCTTGTTTTAAATTTATAATAGAATCCTTGTCTCTCACGTCTTTAGAAAGGGAATTCCAGGTATTAATTGCAGAGGGTACAAAAGATTTTTTAAAAGTTTCAAGTCTACATTTGGGAAAAAAATTCAACGCCTTTAATAATTATTATGCTGAGTTTTTGGAAATATTTGTTTGAGATAATCGGGTACAACATTTTTTGTACTTTAAACATAGTGGTTAATTTAGCTGTTCTTCTTCTTGTAAAAAATCAATTAATAGAGAATTTCTTAGAAATAAAAATCGGGAGACTTTTATTTGAATGTTAAACATTTATTCATTAAAATTTGACAAAAAAATCAAACTGTACCAAAATTGAAATTATTTGTCTTCTGTTCAACAGTAATGTTATTTAGCGTAGCTGAGGTGGATTGAAAATGAATAACATTGCAATTTCAATTTTTCCAAACGTCCTATAACATACTCTCCCATTTCATTGTCTATCACTGAATGTTTTGATTGTAAAGATAGAAATCACGTATAAAGCTCTATACTCAGTATTTCCAATTTTGCCATTTAATGTTCCTCGGTCTTATTGAAGATGAAAAACACACACTTTTTGAATGTTTGAGTTTTGTTACAGAACGAGAGAATATGATTAATGTTATACAAAGACACTGTATCAATTTTTCTCATTTAAATAATGAAAATAAGTTGTTGTGGGTTCTAAATTGTGAAAATTTTACTTTCAGCTGTTTGTGAAATGGTTAATAGCCATATAAAATAGATATATAATGTGGCATTTCTCTTGATAATAATAGGTACATGTAAATTTTTTATACTCAGAAAAAAAAACAAAAAAAAACACACACCAAAAAAAAAAAAAAAAAAAAAACCTATATTGGTTCTTAGAATTTGTGAATTGATCAAGGGTGCAATATAGTGTGTCTTCTACATGTATAAAGAAATTTAATAATAAAAAAAAAATTGTATTCTCCAAACACTTAATAAATATTACTTTGGTCATAAGATATGCAAACAAAACATGGTGAATTATTAAGTACCAATGCACTGTCCCTAGGTATCTTTTGCAATTTAGTGGAATATAGCTACTCAGTATGTATGTGTGTGGACATGTATATATATGTGTGTATGTATGTATGTGTTGGTATGTAAAAAAAATGTATATATTTTTCATTTCTGTGTATGTATACATATCTGGCTTTTTTGCATTATGATAAACGTGTACTTTTTTATATTTTACAAAATTAAACTTCACATGTTAGCAATTATTTCAACTTATGAACCATGTGTAAATTGATTAAGTATATACATGTACTAAGAACACATCACACCTTGTTAATAACTAATAATTTAATTTTGGTTGTAACGCTGTATTTGATTGGATAAAAAATTATTTCATATCGTATAAAATGGGTTGCCTACGTCACAATGACTTGCGTCAAAAACGTATCAATCCGCCTGACGTTACATTCAAATTTTGTACAAACTGAAGTCACTTTATTAGAACAATCATCTTTTTTTCTTACATCAAATGAATGAAAATTAAATTATAAGCAATGAATTTAATAGCTACCCATTTTATACGGTATAAACTGGGTTGGAACAGTTTACGCTTTTTTATAAACCGCTTACATGCTCTGTTTAATAATCATGTATGTAATATGCCCACAAGGGCCCTGATCTGGAATAATAAAATCTATTCTATTCTATAGCATATATAACAACTTTTTGATAGGAACAATATCCTCAATCCATCAGAATAGTCAAATGGAGGACATTGGGTCGGAAGCAGATTGAAAGTGGGGGGGGGGCTCATGTTGCAACAGATTGAAAGTTTGGCTGATGAAAGTGGGGGGGGGGGCTAAACCAACAGAAAAAGGTAAACCCCAATTTTCAGTGCCTTTATTATGTACATATATTTACAAAAAAGTACGGGGCTCGCTCGCTAGCACCCCCCCCCCCGTTCCGATGCCCATGTATGCATGCTGCGCACATCAGCACATCAACATTTTTTTTCAATTTTCAATAAAATATAAAATCTTCAATTAATTATATCTTATAATTATATTAATTAACGTTAGAAAATAAAACTTTTATTTGAATGTTGATATTAATTAAATTTGAATAAAAAAAGAGAACGATATTTCTTATTACACCAGGGACCTATATACTAAGTATATAGGTCCCTGATTACACATAATTGTTATTTACGTCTTTGGACAATACAGAATGATAATTTTTTTTATTTTCCAGCTAACACTGTTTGATAGTTATGGAAATTTTTTACGTATAAAAGTATTTCAATTATTGCGAAAGCGAAAAAATGGCGGCGCAGGGTACGTGAAAGCATGGCAATATTTTGTTTTGTCATTATTTCCCCTATTAGTCGTGTCTTCAATACATTTTTTATCATTATCTAGTTAATATCACATAGTTTTAAAGATATATTGGCAACATATGTACAAGAACTCCCCAAATAACACGGAATCACACACCATGTGGAACGACCTATATTGGTTGCCAGAATTTTGACCCAAAGGGACATTCGAAGGAATCTATTATTTCAATATTTAGGTTTCCAATATTTCACTAGAATTAAAAAAATACTGTTTATGAAAGTGAGAACATCACATTTAACCATTAGAATTTAAAAAAAAAATGATGAGGTGTGTTGGGAAGAAAATGTTTTGATTTCAGTGGGTGACATAGCATTGTAAAAGTGTTTACCACTTTAACATTTTACAAACTTTAGCTTTTTTTCAAATGAGTCTCAATATTCAGTGTTAAAATACACTAATGACTTTAAAGTAGTGTAACGAAAGAACGAATTGTTGACTTCAATTGGTACTTTATAAAATTCACATCAAACAAGCCGAGACACTACCCCTACAATTTTTTGAGATTTGACAGTCACCTGTAACAAAATTGCCTAATTATACTTGAAATAGGTGCACTATTGCAAGGTTATTTACATGTTAATTACCTTCTTACCATCAAGACTAAGATCTTGAAATCCTCTTACAACCCTCTCACATGAATTACCTATTTTAAAAATAAGAATACCATTATATATTTAATAAGACATCAGAGCTGGCAGTCTTTATTTATTAATTTGAACTTGAGGTTTTTCTTTTACAGGTAAGAAAAAGATGAAGGGAAAGACTGTCAATTTGACAGAGTTTCTTTCCGATGACAAAGGAGGAAGCCCCGCTCCTACATTCTCCTCCAATAAAATTGATTGGGCAGCGGAAATGGACTCCAATGATTTAGAGGGTGGGTATATTAATCAAATATTGATCATCAATCTACGTGTACAATTACAATTTTAAAAAAAGGATTAATTTTTGATAAGTATAGTTATATTTTAAATAATATCATCATATTTGAGAATCATTGTAAATGCCAGGAGAAAGGTCATTTTTATTGCTTCAGCATTGATAATCATAGAACATAATTTTCTAGACTTGGATATAGACATGCATAGATCAATGATTGACCGATCAAAGTTGCCGACTGCCCCCAAAGCAGCACGGGGTCCTGATATAGATCTCAGTCGAGTCCCCACTCAGCCCCCCTACACAGCCTTCATTGGAAACCTGCCCTATGAAACAGTCGAAGAGCACATTGAAAATTTCTTCAAAAACCTCAAGGTTTGCAGAGTCAAATACTTCAAGATATTAATACATGTAGGGAGAGGGCTAAAATAGGCTCTGCCTGCCACCCAAATCCCATCCATTTTTATTTTTGAATAAAATTTTGTATAAATAGATAATACATTATTTACTATAATATTATATAATTTATTACTTATTTGAATTCCATGCAGTGTAATGTTATGCAGTGTAATATTTATGGGATTGATTTTAGGTGGTAAATGTGAGATTGCCCACAGACCAGGGAAGACTGAGAGGGTTTGGATATGTGGAGTTTGAGGACAGACAATCATTGATCGATGCCCTGGGAATGAATGACGAGGTAAAGATATAGGGAAGATTCATGTAAAAGCATATTAAAAAAATTTTATTTTGTTAGATTGTATTAGATTTCAGAGACGTGTAATTTTTACTTTGATTCTGATTATCTCTCATACAGATATGCACATATGCAGATTGAGCATGGTAATGGTTATTTAAAACAGTTTTACAAATAATTGACTTTTCAGAAAATATCTCAAATAGGTAAATTTGAATGAAAAAAATTTCAGAAACCTAGTAGTTTCTTTGTGAATTACTTGTACATATGTAGTTCAAGAATTTTATTTCCTTTCATACAGATGATGGGGGGAAGGAAAATGCGAGTTGACTTGGCAGGACAGTCTCAAAATGGTAAGCATGGGTATTATTTTAAAGAAATAAAGGGTTATGAGCAAGAATCAAATGATTTGTTCAATAGAGTTTCTGCATTGTATGTATCTCTACAGAAAATCAGAAGAGTGGCTTTGGAGACAGAAGAAATGAGGGACCTGACAGGACAGACTCTGACTGGAGAAGGGGACCCCCACCAGACTCAGGTACTGGTGTACTCATTTTTATATAATGTAAATACAAAGAAATTTTCCTAGTTAGTAAATGTAAGATATGTTTAAGATATTTTTTCTTGCAAACAGGATCAAGTAGTGCTTATTTGAAGTTATGAAGAATTTATACTAAGCCAACAAGATGGTAATTTACCTGGTATATGAGAAAGTAAACTTTTTCTGCATTTAAATTTTATAATTTATTGTTTTCTTTTCAGATTTTGACAGGAATGACAGATACCAGGACAGAAGAGGTGGCGGTGATAGATGGGGAGGAGGAAGAGGTTTTGAGGATAGAGGCCCATCAAGAGGATTTGATAGAGATGATAGGGGCCCATCAAGGGGATTTGATAGAGATGATAGGGGCCCATCAAGGGGATTTGATAGAGATGATAGAGGCCCACCAAGGGGATATGACAGGGATGATAGAGGCCCACGAGGTTATGATAGAGATAGGGGATATGACCGCGACAGAGGGTTTGATAGAGGTGGCCAGCGAGACGACTGGAATTCCAGAAGAGATTATGATGACAGGGGCCCCTCAAGGGGTTATGATCGTGATGGGGGACGCGGATTCAGAGACCGAGGGTATGACCATGGAGGAGACCGAGGGGGGGATAGAGGCTTTGACAGGAGGTCCAGGGATCGATATGATGACAGAGGTATTTACATGTATCTACGACTTTCCATCTTTATAAGGAAAGATTTTACATCTCATTATGTTTATAAAATAGTTGTAGATGGTTGATCTTATGAATTTGTATTCTCTTTAGGAGATAGGGGATTTGGATCTGGTTTTAGAAGAGATGACAGAAGAGATGATGGTTATGACAGACCTAGGTATGGTAGTTTAATCATGATATACTAAAATGTTTAAAACTCGCACTCTAGGAAAAGTTACTATTACAGCTTCATTAAAAGACTATTATTATTATTTAAATTGGCATGACAGTAATTTTAAAGAATAATGTTCAACTTTCAGACTGAAATTCAGTTAAAGTAATTTTGTAAAGTAATATAATTTTGATCCATTGCAGGCATGACAGACAGAGAAGTCCTGAAGCTAGAGGTATGTGAATGAAAAATTCAGTATCAAAGATTACACCAGCTTTTTCTTAATGCATGTACAGTAAAACATCCTATGGCAAAGAACCAGGGACAGACTATTTTGATTCATTATACGCATAATTTACCAAAAATTGAGACAAGTTTAAATAATTGATGAGTAATAAAGTCATAGATGATGTAAATGCTGCTAAAATGTATTTAATGGGAACCAGCAGTTGAATGGCATCAAGTCAATGGAAAAAAACGAGAACAAAATATCAATACAATATACACGCTTTGGTTCCCATATTTGTCCGGATATGTTCGATATCTGAATCACCAATTAAACAAGACAACACAGCATTTCAAAATTTCGTTCCAATGAAAAATCGTCCGGATACTGAAGCATCTGGATAGATATGAAGGTCCACTGTATACACATACAATGTTCGTTTACAATGCAAAAACATTTTTATTCTGATATAGAGATGCCTGCTGAGCGACCAAGGTTAAACTTACAGCCCAGAACCAAACCAGTAGAAAATGAAAGTAAAAAGAATGAGGAGGGTGCCCCAGAAAAGAAGGCCTCCATCTTTGGAGCAGCCAAGCCTGTAGACACGACGGCCAGGGAGAGAGAGATCGAGGAGCGGCTGGCCAGACAGAAGCTGGAGGACTCTCGAAGGACCGAGGAGGAGAAAGAAAATAGAAACATGTAAGATTCCTGTCAGGATGATTCTTACTACACTTACTTTCTTCATTATACATCTAACATAACTTTGCATGGAATTAGACACAAAAAACTTGTATCTTAAAAGAGTTCAAGCTGTATAAAACTTTTAGAAACAGTCTGATTCTAGAGAAGGTTTTTCTGTTTTAAAATTTCATAAATATGTTGTTAAGTCTAATCTTAAAGGTTATGTGCTTCATGTATGAGTGAGATGTTTGATTTTCATTGTTTAATGTAATGTACATGTGTGAAGAAAGAAAAGTGTACCTATTCCTTAAGTAATTTTTCTGGTTAATATTTGAAATGATCCTATTTACAAAATACAGATATATTGGCTTTAAGACATACGGTATATTTCAAAATAATGTGCCTATCATATTATTATAGTCAGATTACAAGTTTAAGTAAGTTATTGCACTGTGTTACTTTTTGTCATTATAGAGATAGAGATAATAGACCTCGCAGGGATAGCGAGAATTCTCAAGATGGAAATAGACGTAACTCACACGAGGGCAGCAGACGAGAGCGGAGACTCAGCAGCAACAGCTCAAACAAAGGAGGACGCTCAGGTGAGTATTGTAATATGATTCTCAGCGAGTATTGTAATGTGATGCTCAGGTGAGTGTTGTAATGCACCTGAGTAGAAGGTTTAATAGCTTTTCAATTTCATAGTATGGAAAATAAATGCACTTCAAGAATTATTCAAAATCATAGAGACAGGGATATTGAAAAAATATCTAGAAGTGAATGTTTAAGAATTATCAGAATACAACTTATATTTGAGAGTAAAATGGTTTTATTAGTAACAAATTTAGAAAAAAAATGACATGAACAAGTTCCTTATCAGGCAATAGTTAATGGAATATTTTTAAAGTAGAAATTCTTTTCTAGGTCCTTCACATGGGCGGCCCAGAAAAGACAGTGAAAAATCCAACCACTCGCAGGAGGTGTTCTCAGGTGGGGAGGATAGTAGGGAGGAACCCAAGAGTCCACTGTCTCCCGTACACAGAGAGGATCCGGTGAAACTCATGCCAGCCCCTCCCCCCACAGTTAACGCCTGGGCGAAACGGAAAAGTGAATCAGCCCAGAAACAAGGCCCGCCTCCTGATGACATAAAGTCTCCTCCCAAGTCCTCACCACAGAGCAATTCCCAAGTCCCTGCCAAGAGTGAATCTAAGTCAAATCCTACACCAGCAGTATGTATACTGATTTTGACATTTTTAAATAAAAATAGAAGAAATAAAAATTGTATGTGATTGTCTTAGTAGATATTGTAAACTAACTACCTGGTATTATTCTTGTCATCTCTTATTTGCAATTTGTCAGTTTGAAATCACTCTATGACAATTATATTTTTGCGTCTAAAGAAGCATTTTCTACAAATACAAAGCAAAATGGTTCGGGGCAATCAGTAATCGTAAGTTAAAGTTGGCATGCAAATTAAAGTTGATATCCCTTATGGTTTTCCTTACTCTGTTTTTTAGCTCTACTGGTCAGAGACCAGAAGAGCTTATGCGATAGTAAGGTGTCCGTCGTCCGTCCGTCTCTCTGTAAACAATTTTTCAAAACGCTACTCCTCCTACAGTTTTGATCTGATTTCAATATAACTTGGCACACAAGTAGACTTCATTAAGATACATAAAATAGAGCATCGATTTTTGATTTCGATGAACGGTGTTGACATGGTTACTAAAAATAGAATTTTCTGTGAAAGTCCTTTAAAATGCTACTCCTCCTATAGTTTTGATCTGATTTCAATATAACTTGGCACACAAGTAGACTACACTAAGATACATAAAACAGTGCATCGGATTTTGAAATATCGATGAACTGTGTTGCCATTTTGGTTACTAAAAATTGAATTTTCTGTGAAATTCATTTCAAACGCTACTCCTCCTACAGTTTTGATAAATATTTCAGTATATAACTTGGCACACAAGTAGAACACTAAGATAATTTTTTAAAATTTACTTTTATAGATTTTTGATTTATATATAATTCAAATTTACCATGGAATTAAACTTTAAAAAAAAGAATTTTCTGTGAAATTCATTTCAAAATTAACTTTTTTGTAAGTTTTGTTTCTTGGTGGCAATATTTCTCTGGGGCTAGTCCTTTGTTATGCCACAAACCTGTGTGACCTGGTGCCATGTTTGAATTAATTAGAGTTGCATTTTATATTCCTGGTATCACAATCATTTTGTGAGCCACAGATTTTTTACATATTCAATGCCATTTTCTTTGAATTACATCTGTATAAAAATTTATTATATTTTAAAATTTTTAGGAACCTCCAGATACAATATGTTTCGGAGCAGATAGAACACCAGCAGACCTAAAGCCTTCTGAAAAATCCTCCAAGAACAGCATCGATTTTTGATTTCGATGAGGTGTTGACATGGTTATTAAAAAAGAATTTTCTGTGAAAGTCCTTTAAAATGCTACTCCTCCTATAGTTTTGATCTGATTTCAATATAACTTGGCACACAAGTAGACTACACTAAGATACATAAAATAGTGCATCGGTTTTTGATTTCGATGAACGGTGTTGCCATGGTTACTAAAAATTGAATTTTCTGTGAAATTCATTTCAAACGCTACTCCTACAGTTTTATGATTTCAATATAACAGGCACACAAGTAGTTTAATCAGATACATAACATGTGCATCGATTTTTGATTTCCCAACGGTGTTGCCATGGTTACTAAAAATAATTTTCTTAAATAAAACGCTACTCCTTCTACAGTTTTGGTCTGGTGGCACATGGTTTCTCTTCAAATCCTTTGTTATAATACAAAATGGTAATTTTGACAGAGACTTCTGGTTAATCAAATGGAACATTTTTAAGATTTAAAAACAATTTTAAAGAAGAGTGTATAAAAATTTATTAATCTGATAATATTTTTAGGAACCTCCAGTTACAAACGCTTGGAGCAGAGGCAAACCAGCAGACCTAAAGCCTTCTGAATCCTCCAAGAACAGCACACCTTTGAAACGACCAGGTGAGGTGTTAATGATATTACTTAACACAAGGTATTAAGGTGTCAACCTCCCTACATATCAGAGACAATGTACATCAATCTGAATGGGTGGAATGCTACATGTTTCTGAAAACCACAAATTAAGTATTTGAATTTTTTACCATATGCCCCATGAAGAGCATACTTGTTACGGGTTGATAAGATAGGGTACAATTAGTTATATTTATCAAAACAGGATATTGAGTTTAATCATATGAGACATGTGGCTCACTCTTGCCCAATTTGATATACTGTATATACTTTGCAATTAAATAGAAGCAGGAGTTTCTGTGAAGCACATTGTCTAGTCTTCAAATTTTGACAATAAATGGTAATTTTGCAAGCTGCTAGGTAGCAAATGGAACAGTAAGCATTTAAAAACAATTTTACAGATTATACAATTTTATCTATGTTTTGTAGATGAGAGAGGCAGTTGGCCATACCTTGAATACAGAGATGAACAGTTTGTCAGCGCAACTCCTCATAAACCGCTGCACAGAATTTGTCAAACTTTATCAGACTATTTAGGACACAATGTGTAGATATGCATATTGAAAACCACAAATTAAGTATTTGAATTTTTTACCGTGAATTATACCCCATGCACTTTTTAACTTAGGCATTTGGCCATACCTTGAATACAGAGATGAACAGTTTGTCAGCGCAACTCCTCATAAACCACTGCACAGAATTTCGTCAAACTTTGCAGATATTTAGGACACAATGTGTAGATATGCATATTACCAGGAAATTCCGATTCCATTATTTTTTCCGTGAATTTCCGCACTTTTTAACTTAGGCATTTGGCCATACCTTGAATACAGAGATGAACAGTTTGTCAGCGCAACTCCTCATAAACCGCTACACAGAATTTCATCAAACTTTGCAGATATTTAGGACACAATGTGTAGATATGCATATTACCAGGAAATTCCGGTTCCTTTATTTTTTCCAGGAATTTCCGCACTTTTTAACTTAGGCATTTGGCCATACCTTGAATATAGAGATGAACAGTTTGTCAGCGCAACTCTTCATAAACCGCTGCACAGAATTTCGTCAAACTTTGCAGGTATTTAGGACACAATGCGTAGATTTGCATATTTCCAGGAAATTCCGATTCCATTTTTTTTTTCCGGGACTTTCTGCACTTTTTAACTTAGGCATTTGGCCATACCTTGAATATAGAGATGAACAGATTGTCAGCGCAACTCCTCATAAACCGCTGCACAGAATTTCGTCAAACTTTGCAGGTATTTAGGACACAATATGTAGATGTGCATATTACCAGGAAATTCTGATTCCATTATTTTTTCCGGGACTTTCCGCACTTTTTAACTTAGGCATTTGGCCATACCTTTTATATAGAGATGAACAGTTTGTCAGCGCAACTCTTCATAAACCGCTACACAGAATTTCGTCAAACTTTGCAGATATTTAGGACACAATATGTAGATGTGCATATTCCCAGAAAATTCCGATTCCATTATTTTTTTCGGGACTTTCCGCACTAAATACTTAGGTTTTTGGCCATACCTTGAATATAGAGATGAACAGTTTGTCAGCGCAACTCCTTATAAACCGCTGCACAGAATTTCGTTAAACTTTGCAGATATTTAGGACACAATATGTAGATGTGCATATTACCAGGAAATTCCGATTCCTTTATTTTTCCGGGAATTTCCACACTTTCCAACTTAGACTTTTTGGCCATATTTTGAATATACAGATGAACAGTTTGTCAGCACCACTCCTCTTAAACTGTTGTACATAGTTTTGTCAACCTATGCAGATATTTAGGACATATTCCATTATTTTATTCCAAAGAGTTTTGCCTATTATTCAAGAAAATTTCTCACCCCCCCCACCCCCCACCCCCCCCCCCCCCCTACCCCCAACCACTTCAAATTAATGTTTGGATTTGTATAATGCTAAGAAATTTTGATTCCATTATTTATCTAGAAACTTCATTCCACATTTAAATGTCCTCATATGCAAGACATTTTGATGTGAAGATTTTTTTGCAATTATTGCCTTTTTTGATCTATACTATGTATTTAAAGTGCACTAGCTGTGCCTTTCATTATGTGTTTCACCGTCAAGTTTTGGGGGAGCGTGGGGTATGTGAGCTAGCTCACTTTTTCTTTCATTTTGGTAAAGCTTTATTTTTAAACTTTAATTTTTTTTAACCTGTAGAGCTCCAAGGGAAAAGGCAATCCCCCAGTCTATAGATGACATGCCTAAATTTGAAGAAAAGAAAGAACAGGTTTGGTTTGAATATTTTTTTCATTGAAATTTATAATCACAAAGGAGTAGGGCACAAGTTCTGAAAACTTATCATACCATCATCCCTACATGTATATTGCAAATTCAAATTAGAGATTTGTAGATTTAGAGTATATAGTATTTGCAAAGTTTACAAAGAACAGGAATTTTACATGGCATGAAAAAAAGTTAAAATCTGTAAAATGTTGAATTTTTCCTTCCTCAGTAATTTGTTTCAGAACACTTTTCTACTTCATTTCATGTAAAATCGTTATTTGAATTAAAATCAATGATAAATTCTTTTAGGTCTGGACGGGTGCCAACAAGTTTGCCGGCCTTGTTGATGATGATAACGAAGGAGAAAGCATGGAGTAGGAAATCGGCATCAATTTGTTATTTCTTTCTTTGAGCTTTTTAAAAATGGAACTTGGCTGTTTTATTGATTTTAATTGTTATGTAATGATTGACATTACAAACTGAACTTGGCAATTAATTTATGACAGAAAGAAAATGTATAAAGCATTTTAAAAAATATTTGATATTAAGAATAAAATCATACTAGTCTTAGTACTAGTTTAATGAATGATTATGTATATATACTGAATTAAATTGTTACAGAAATAAATGGAAGTGATCATGTACAAATGCACTGTTAATTTTTAGCATGAATTCTGTAATCTTTGACAATCCCAATACATGTTTTGAATTTGATATATGTAAGGATGAAGATAAAATACTTGGTGTATAATAATGCTTTAGTACCTCTGTTGGCCTAAGGATATATTTTTTATATGATATTTTGGCTTGACTTTGGTTGAATATTTTACCAAGTTTACAGAAGTGACCAATTTATAATTTTGTGAACTCACTTCAATTCTTGAGCTGCATTGAAACTATTAAAGAATATTAAGATTATGTAGCATGAAATTTGTGTATATTTTTTTGTAATGTTATTGTTGAGACTTTCCTTTTCCTGTTCACAGCTGCATGTGATGTGTAAAGATTTAAGTGAAATGTGGCAGGTGCTTTGATTTGAGGGATGTTCATGAACATTTACATATCAATCTTGTGAGGGTAACATAGGAAGTTGTTGAACATAGGAATAGTCATTCAAATATAATATCAGCTTTGAATAATGATAAGTTTGTCATAGATCACTACTTATCCAACAAATACTTTTTTGTTGACAAATTGATAATAGGTTTGTAATATGGCATACAAAAAAATTTTGAAATGGAAAGACTACTGTATAGGGGGAAAATAACTCGCGGTGTTAATATTCGCTATATTCACGGTGATAATAAATCCGTGAATTCAAGAAACAGTGAATAATTTTTCAATAATCTCCATGTTTTATTTGGAAATTTGAGAATAGGCTACGATAGGTTTAAATACATGTACCACAGTACATGGTCATTTCAGTAATTACGAGTAGTGCTTGTCATTCAATTATTTTAATTAGCACGCTTACATCAACAGATAATAACCTGTATTTGATAAAAAGCTTTTTAATACCCAACGCTATATGTTTCATCAATCAAAACAGTTTTGATTACCCGTGCGTAACTAATGTTACCTCGTACGGCGTTTTTGTTACCTGCATTATCATGAATATTATAATTTTTATAATATATTTTGATTTAAAAAAAAATCATTCAAATAACTATCGAACTTACTGAAGATTTGGAAGGATACTATTTCGTCGACCTACATAAACACATTTATTACCGTCCAGTGTTTTTTTTTGTTTTTTTGTTTTTTTTTTTTTTTGCCGCGTTTTGAAGATTTCGGGATGCACATGCACTCATTGTAATAGCGCATACAAAAAAGTCATTTAACGTTTATAGTCAAGGACTTTTGATAACTGCACCTGATTTAATTAATCGTCAATTATTTATTAAGTCTATTTTGTATTAACGTACCCTGTTGTTCCTGAAATAAAGACACAACGCTGATAAATGTCGTTTACATGTAGCTATGGTATGGATTAAACAATTATAGACAAGGGAGGTAACTTCTATAACATAAGAATTCCGCGAATTCAAGAAACCGCGATCGTGTCTGATGAGAGAAAACTGTGAAAATTACAACCCGTGAAATTAATCCCCTATACAGTAATTATAAAATGTTTCAAATATTCTTGTGTATGCAAGTAAAATTCATAAACAAACCGACAAACTGTATTAAATTTAAAATGTAATTTCTGTAATCACTTTTTTTCTGCCATTACATTTGCAGAGTGTTTGTTGCTTAACTTTTGGACCTCCATAATCCACAGAAACAGACATTTTTCATGAGCATTCTTAAATATTTTAATGAATGATTTTTGATCTCTAAGAAAATTAATTACACATATTTATACATGTCTGCTTACATTATCATTACAGGATTCTTTCATTATTACTGTTACTTTTAAAATTTTACCTTTTTTGCATCCTTTTTCAGGACATTTAATGTTTTGATCATTTTGCTTGTGTGCTAAACTTAAGACTTGATGGACACATTATTTAATATGTATTTCCACTTGTCCACTTTTGTAAATATTCCATGCTTCTCTGTATCAAAGGGTATTATAAGTGAATGTATGAATGAATGAATAATAAATAAAGAAAACAATATAATGTAGTTGTACACATGAATAAGGGCTATTGATTATATAGTGACTTTAAAAATCTTCTTTTCTGCTCCTGTGTATTAAGCAAACAAATGAAGTATATAGTTACGATGAATAAGGGTGTTTCTTTCAAACTTGTGAATTTCCGGGTCAGGCTTTCTGGTGGGCCTCTTTTGATTTATATAGTGAAATTGCATTGATTCTTTGAAAAGCTCAGCTCCTTGGTATTTAGGAGATAAATGAAGTGCATGGTATTGTTGAGCAAGGGTGCCTCTGTCAAATCATAAAATGTGTGGACCAAAGGTACCAGACAGGAGGTTCAGGGGGGGGGTCTTTGCTAAAATAGAATTACTTTTATTTTTGTTTTCTGTACAAAGAGAAGTCGTTTGAGAGGGAGTGAGATGTGTTCACTAATAGTGTCTGTCAAGAATTATTATTTAATTTGTTTAACTCGAACATGACTAGTAAGTAACTAACGGGAGCAATTGCAAACAAGTAAATAGATGAAATATATGGAAATAACGAACAGTACTCAAGCTCAAAAGTCCATTTGACAATACAAATCAGGAGCAGAGCAAACTCGGATCCCTAAAATATCTGAGGTGGGGTCAGGTGTCATGGAGGAGTGAGCATCCCTTGCTGACTGGTCATACCCGCCGTGTGCTCCTTGTCATGACCGAGAAATAATGGGAAAATCGGTCGACAATTCTGTGTGTAAATAATGGATTAACAATTGGTAGGAAACGTGGCAGTATGAACCTGGGGAGCACCCCCCCACCCTCCCCAATTATTCTGCCGATTATTAAAATACTATTGAAAGCATAGCTACTTTATCTTTGTGCTACCTCAATTAAAACGTCTGACGGCCTTTTTTTCAAGGAAATTGTAGTAATTTACAGTGCTTCTCGGCTGTAGGGCTGTGCCCCCCCCCCCCCCCCCCCCGGCCTGTGAAAAACGTCAATATCCCTGGCATGATTGCGAGGATGTTCAACAGATTTAATAAAAATACACATTGCTCAAATAAAACAAAGAATTTTATAGGTAACATATCAATTTGAGTGCTTTATTATTTCCTCCACACCGCAGCAAAGAATACCTTGCTCCAGAATGCACAAATATTTCACTTTATAGTAGTGTATTGAATATGTGGAAATGGCGTGGAGAGGGGGGGGGGGCACAATCAAGCATTTTCAGTTGGGACTGGGTCGCACTACACGTATCAAAATTCTTTGAAAGCAAAAAGAGGGGAGGGGGTATCAGACGTTACTAGTATTATTGAGATGGAACAAACATCTTTTGGGGTACTTTTTAAAACTTATATAGTATTACGTTACTATCTATCAGCAAAATAGCTGCAGATCTGTAGCGTTATGGTTTCATATATGTGTCTTTAACCATAACGCTACAGATCCCATAATGCTAAAAAGGTGCAATTTACGGCGCAATATTTTGCGCACTTTTGGGGAGATTTTCTCCATTTTCCAGCATCGGTCAATTAACTACTTTTCACTCCCAATACTAAGCACATTATTTAACCAATTTGTATATTTTATCCATCTCCCAACCCTTTATAGTCGTCTCTACAAGTGATAAACTCGCTTGATTAAAATGTTTTGTTAGATTGCTGAAAATTCACTTCAAGCGAGTTTATTGCCTGTAGAGACAAAGTTCTATAAATGGTTGTGAGGTGGATAAAATATACATACTGGCTACAAAATGTCTTTAGAATTAGGGAGTGAAAGTTAGTTGATTGACTAATGCTAGAAAGTGGAGAAATTCTCCCCAAAAGTGCGCAAAAAATCTTGCGCCGTAAATTGCACCTTTTTTTGCATTGGAATCTGCAGCGTTATGGTCAAAGACAAATATATAAAACAGGTTTGTTCCCGTTTTGCACACATTTGAATTATACAGGTAATTAAAAAATGAGTGCAAAACAGGAATTTGACCAGGTGAGATAATTACTTAATTGCTATAGTCTATACCATACTTAGTAAGTAGGTGAAAGGTGAACTTATAGTGAAAAAATAAGAGAATAAATACAAAGTTATTTACAATTTACTAACAATTGAAAGACACAAAATTATAATAATTGAAATTTTACCAGCTTGGATCAGCAGCAATCATGGATCGTCACTTCTTTATTATTTGTTATATCTTTAATTCATTTAGAATTATATCAAGATTGAAAAGTATTCCTTTTTTTAAAGAAATTGGACTTCATTAAGAAATAATTTATTCTATTAAGAATACATTAAGCTACATCAGGTATTCACAGGTAAATCCAGGTAAATCCAAACCAAAAATCAGACTATATATAATTGCTATCAAAACACACTTCACACCTATTGTTCTATACCTGATTATCAAATGTGTGCAAAACGGTTACAGATCTGCAGCTATCAGCAAAATAATTACGGCATGGCTCCCGTTCAACTTTTACACAGAAATTAAATAACACACAACATGGACACATTCATACATCTCTAGATCCACACTTTTTTTTATTATGGCATATAAGTAAAAAAAAATAAAGAAAAAATAACTACGCCTCTGAGAATCAATAATGATCCGCACCTACGTATTCAACTTGAATCAAGCGTCCGAAAGATCCTGACCAAAGAGTGCATCGGGCGCGGTTAGATCAAAAATGAATTTTTCTGTATTTTTTGCACCTCCTATTGTTCATCTATGGCCCCAGAATAATTCAAACAACCAATTTATTTACTATATTTGCGGAGGAATTGCTTTGATATACTTCCTGGTATTGGTTATTGCGTCCATATCAAGGAGAAATGAGGTAATATTGTAAGCTAAAATCACGACCATGGTCTGACAGTCACATCACAGGTACATGTATTTGGTGTTGGTTTATAAATACATGTATTGATATGTAAAAAGAAATCATGGTTTATAAATATGTATGTACCTTTTTGATTTTTATTTATTTATTTTTTTTTTTACAAATTTATTACATTCACAGGTGCTTGAGGACAGGAAATCCCCCATCCCCCCCCCCTGGCCTTTTAGACTTTTTTCCACATAAAATATATATGGATGACACATTTGTGATATAATCTATCCTATCAATTCAGAAAATTTACTTTTTATAAAAAAAATTCTACCCCACTCTAACTTTATATATAGAATGGAGGGTAGATTTTATAAATCATTTGTTTTAGGTAATTTTTCGAATTGTTGGTATATGTATGTCAATGAAAGATAAATCATGAGAAACAAGTTGAAAAGACCCAGGGGTCTATATCAAGGGGGGGGGGGTGTCCTGTCCTCAAGCACCTGTGATTACATTTCACTTTTATAGTTAGGCCAAAATAAAAAATAGTCTTGTTTCCTGCTACCCGACCTACCCTGTTTTTTTGCACCCGACCCTAAAGTTTTTTTGAGCTTTTGTGGGAAAAATTCAAAATTTTAGGAATTTCATGTCTCAAAAGTGAGAAAAAATATATATACTCAAGTTGTATTACATGAACTATATGTTTAAAATATAGGGTGCGTTCAGAGTACTACCGTTGGCTGACAAAAGTTACCATTGGTAGAATTTTTTACCATTGGTATGCCATTGGTACCAAAGTTTGCCGAAAAAATTTACCATAGGTAGATTTTTCTGCAGACGAACTAGAGCTCTGTTAGCGATGGTAACTTTTTTTATGACGTCACGAAAAATGGCGGGTATGGCATATGTGCTTAAAGCGACAGATTTTTTATCTCAACTTTTTCCTTTAAACCTCGTTGTTGCAGGAAAAAATTACCGTATATTAACAAAGGCTTCAAACATTCAGCATATATCTGACAGTAAGTATGCACACTTTCTGATATATAGTCTTATAAAGTGACCGTTGACGAATGAACAGATTTCATTCGGAATTTCCTCTGTTCTTACACGTTAGTCTATGTGAGCGGCGCTTTGCACTGCTTACTTAAACAAATATATATAATCATATAAGGAATAAAAACCATTTTAAACTCATTCCCAGTTCCTTAAACAAATTATATATATCGGGAATACCCGGATAGGTTGGAAATTTTTTGGTAGAAATATGACAATGTTTTAATCATAGTAAATCTTAATTGATACTTTACCCTGATATTAATGAAATATGTTCAAAAACATTCATTTATTTCTGATGTATACAAATAAAACAGTTTTCGCCAATTTTTAATTAAAAAATTATTTAGAAATCTGTCTCAAAAATATAGTCTTAACATGCTTACCCGTTTATTTTTCTCACCATAGTCACATAAACGATACAAATATTATCTTTTTAGGCCTAGTATATGAAAAATTAATAATACTGAGTTATGTTCAGCTTGTTGCATTGAACAAATCAAAAATGCTGATAGAACTTAAGGTTTTATGATCTTATGGTAATTCATTAATTAACATTTTTTCTTTTATTAAAATTACTAGATCTTGATGTGGTATCTAATCAATTAGAGAAATTACTACCTCCTGACCCCCCGAAGGATCCAATATTTATTGATTGTATTGATGGAGAAGTAGTCATTCCACAAGTATTATTCCGAAATGATGAAACGCAGGATAATAGTGAAAGTAGCTCCTCATCCTGTCAAGCCAGCACCTCAGATCGTGTTCTTCCGCGTGATCAAGCCAGCACCTCAGATCGTGTTCTTCCGCGTGATCAAGCCAGCACCTCAGATCTTGTTCATCCGAGTGATCAAGCCTCAGATCTTGTCCCTCCGAGTGAAACAGAATTCCCCATGCACCAAGATGACAATAGTGATTGGGAAGAGTCAGGATCAAAATCAAGATATGAATGGAAACTGACAACAACCAGAAAACTCCTAAATATATTAGAGGAAAAGAAAAAAGTTGCACCAGATTCTTTTTCTGTAAACAAAAAGATATGGGCGGGACTATCAAAAGAGCTGTCCAAAAATGAAGTAAATCCCCCGTCTGCCAGTCAATGTCGTGAGAAGTTCTACACATTAAAAAGAGGCTATAGAAAATTTTTGTCCGAATGCAAGAAAACTGGAAATAAAACCCCTAAACCATTTAAGTACGAAACTGAAATGCAGAGTATACTGGATGGGGACCCATCGTTCAAACCATTATTTCTTTGTAGCTCTTTTGGTTTGAGAAAAGATGATCCTGACCGTGAGTCAGATGAACTTGAGAGAGATGATGATACAAGCACCAGCAGTGCTTCAACTTCAAGACCATCAACCCCTGTTCCTACAGCTACATGTAAGACAAAGAAAAGAAAAATTGACGAGATGAGAGAATACTTTGAGGAGAGAGATAAAAAATTCTTCGACATAATGGAAAATATGCAGAATAGCAATAAAGAACTCTTGACAAAATTAATTGAAAAATTGGGCAAATAGGGACTGAGTACACAACACCACACATTACAAATTTTTTGTCTGTATAACTTGACGAATATTAACAAAACTAATTAGAGTACAGTTATAAGTCCTTATCACTGCACAAGTGAAAACACTAGTCAGGGTTAAAGTAAGCATCCTCTTCTTTGGATAAGTTGTTATTATTTTGACATCCTGAGATACACTAATTAAGATGTCTTTCATGTTTTGAATTTAAACATTTAAAACTCTTTTTATTTATATTTAGCTATACAAAGAAATTGTATTTATTTTCAGCTATACAAAGAAATTGTATATTTTTTTTATTTTAAAAATGAATAAAGTTGTTTAAGAAAATGTTTAATGTTCTGAATATTTGCATTGAACATGGAATATTAAAATAATATTAAAGTATTGAACAAAGTCAACAGTCTACTAATTGTAGAAAATGTTATTGATAGTTCATATCAACTGGTTCATCATCTGTTGTCTGGTTTGAATTCCTTGGAGTTGATGACCGTCATGGGCAGGTGGCATGTCAAAACAAGCTTCAAATTCATCTGGTACTTCGATAAAGTCTGTGTCTGAAATACATAAGTTATGTAAAACACAAGCAGCAAGTATAGACTCTACTATGATTTTAATTTTTGAAGACTCAAATCGCAAAAGTCTCCTAAACCGACACTTTAATAAGCCAAACGATCTTTCGATGACTTGTCTGCTACGGCTGTGCTCCTTATTAAATTTTCGTTGTTGCTCAGTTAGGTTGCCAAAATTCCGAAAAGGTGTTATGAGCCACTGAAGTATTGGAAAGGCTGAATCCCCCAATATGACATAGCCAACAGGAATCTTTTCATCACTCTTTTGAAAAAGATCTGACATTCGCATTACTGTTGCATCATGCGTGCTTCCAGGATTTCCTGTCCAAACATAGGTAAATTCCATTTTGGAATTGCAGCATGCCAGAAGCACCACAGAGTAAAATTTCTTTCTATTGTAGTAGGCCTGTGGCTGGTGTTTGGGGGCCTTTATCGGAATGTGACTGCCATCCAAAGCACCCACAACATTTTGAAATTGACAGTTTTCTCCAAATTTTTGACATGTTTCATTTAGTTCTGCTTGTGATAAAGGCCATCTAATTACTTCTGCCATAACACTTATCAAGGAGGAGGATACTCTAGTAACACTAGCGTGAAAACTTCCTTTAGATGTACCAAACCTATCAGCCATAGATCGAAAACTCTCAAGGTTTCCTAAGTACCACAAAAACATCAACAGTTCTTTTTCAAGGTTAGGGGCAGGGCCCTTTTGATTGTTGTAAGCGTTAACTGTTGATAATCTCTGGCACGTACTCTCAAATGTGTCCCTGGAAAAACGAAAATGGGTTTTAAATTCATCAAGTGTATACGAGGGTATAGTAACCTCATAGTAATGCCTCACTCTAGTCATTTCATCTGAAGATCTACGCAAGTTTTGTAGGAGAAAATAATCTGGAAGGGAGAAGTACTTCATTGAACTAAAAAAAGTATTTCTAAACATACTCTCTTGTTGTAAAATGATGCATGAAGCAATTATTATATTTTCTTCGTTGGACATTTTCTTCTAAATAATAAGCCAATGGTAACCAATGGTACCATTGTTAACATTGGTGAGATTCCTACCAATTGTACCCAAAAAACCGTTCAGAGTAAATATGGGCCCAATGGTACCAACGGTACAAATTGTTGCCATTGGCAAACAGGTGATGGTACCAATGGAAATACTCTGAACGCACCCTCTGACTTTCATAAAATTCCACTTGAGTTGTGCATCAAAAGACATTTTAAAAGATGATATTGACCTTATCTATGACATGTTCAATTTGGTTTTGTAGTACTTAGGTTCATATCCCCAAAAATACCGTTGGAAAAAATAAAATAAAATTAAAAAATAAAATAATTTTCCTACCTACCTACCCTATTTTTTTCTGGCTGGTAGCAGGAAACAAGACTATTATTTTTTTGGCCTTATCTAGAAATGCATTTTATCTCATTTAAAATTATTCAATTTTTTTCAAAATCCCTTCATTATACATTGAATACCTTAATGTTAATTCTTCTGTAGGCATGCATTTTGGTCATTCCTCCAAATGAAACATTTCATGATGAGCACCTACTACATAAATACCTGCTGGAAATAAAGACATCACTAAAACTTGGTAAGAAAAATATAAATTATAAAGCTCCAAAGTCTTCTTTATTTCATTCCCCAAAAGCATCTATGAAAAGCCTGATTAATATTATCAAACAGCAAAAACTTGCAGCATTTCATGATTGAATGATTTAATTTTGAATTTATGTGAATTTATGTGAAGCTAGAAGTAAATTTTTAAAAGGAAAACATTTTATTTTGAACCAGTTCTGTTCCCTGCTCTTGCTGCCTTTGAGGGGGTTATACAAAAAAAGTTCTTTGAATTGAATTAGGTCCTAAAGCAAATACATGCAGATTTCTTTCTTAAAATCATGTTTTTGTTCTATAGGTAGTAGTTGTAATGCTTTGGCAAGAGTTTACATTCAGTTGGTTGGAAGAAAGAGCTCCAGTCCATATTATCCCGTTGATGTTTTTTATTCTGGAAGATTTCTTTTTCAAAGAGGTTGCAGAGATATTTTCTTATTAAAAGTGTCAGGTATGTATTCTTAAATGCTGAAGAACTGTAGCACTATGGATTTATCCAATTTATATTGAAGACTTAATTTAGTCTTAAACCAAAATGGACCAAAAATAAACTATGAAACCATAATGCCCCAGCTCTATAGCTAGTATTCTAAAAATCCTCATTTCCATTTTATTAATGGGTTGTGCTTTAACAGATCATCACAATTGGAAAATTTATCATGAGAATAAATGTAAATAATTTAATTCTGGTTGTAACGCTGTATTTGATTGGATAAAAAATTATTTTATACTGTATAAAATGGGTTGCCTACGTCACAATGACTTGCGTCAGAAATGTATTAATCCACTTGACGTTACATTCAAATTTTGTACAAATTGAAGTCATTTTGTTTGTACAATAATCGTTTTTTCTTACATTAAATGAATGAAAATTAAATTTGTTAGAGCTTCCTTTATTAAATAAAGCCTTTTTCCCAAATATTTCTGCTTCACCCTCTTAAATTTGGTAAGGAAAAATTACCAGGTTTACCATCAAGATGGTATTCATTCCTTAAATACACAGTTGTATATTTTTGAAAATTAATTCCTTAGTTTTAAAAAGCTAAATAAAACAAGATCTATTCCAAAAGTCCTTATTACGCTTTGTCATTAAAGGATTATGCTAATTTTAATTTGATTGAAGTCTTAAGAATATCAAATTCATGTGTTTAAGAAAAGTTGAAATATTACACATATAAAATAAAAATAATGGAACAATATAGAGAGACTATAATTTTTGTAGGTCAGATTACATGCCTTTATATTTTAAATTAATGATAGAGTGATTACAAATATTCTCTTTTGCAATTGAATATATATTTACTTAGTATCTAAAATTGAAAATAGAAATACTGATAATATTTTTTTTATTTTACAGATAACATCGGAGAAATGGATGTTGTTAACTTCATAATAGTCAAGAATAAAAAAAGTACATGGTAATTAAAACATATATATTGCCACAAATATTGCTAGTTTGAATTTATAGCTTACAATCCATGAATGTTTGCATGATCTCTCATACTGCAATGCTTTCTATTACAATATTAGTTTGTTACCCTCAGGGATTATATATATTTAAGATCTCCTATAATTTGTGGTTGGATATGATTTTTTTTCAAAGAAGTTGTGTGTGTGTGTGTGAGGGTGTGTGTGCGTGTGTGTTTTTATCCCCAAATCCTGGTAAGGGGATAAAAAACACACATCGAGTTGGATAAAAATCATATTCAACCACAAATTTTGGGAGATTCTTTTTATTATATATTTTTGTATAACTTAATGTTTTACACTGTTTTTATATACATGTATATGACTTGATGTACGGTCATCACTTTCACACAAAAAAAACCCACTATGCATCACAGCTCTGATGTACAATGAAGTAAAATACTAAGGGGCTGGCTGTAGTCAGACTGCAGCAGCAGGAAATGGAAAAAAAAATCTGTAATGAATGATATCCATGGGATAAAGGTTATAACAAACATGTGATAAAAAAGACTACTAATTCCCAAATAATTATTTTCCATCTACATCTGGAAAGACTTTGATAATTGTCTTTACAGGACTCCTGATGATGTGACAGTGATGCATGTAGCAAGTGGAAAAAGATGGAAAGTCCATCACAGCATTACAGATATAGACCAAGGTATTTCACATGCTGCTGGAGGAGAAAACCAAAGCATTACATCGAATAAAAGGTAAACTGGTTCAATAAGTTACAAACTGATTGATAAAGATATATAGCTATACAGGTACCAAGCTAAAGTACTTCAATGATATTTAATGCACTGTATTTTTTCTAGTAAATTAAAATCATTTTTATTTCAGAAGAACTTTTGGTCATTATTGGCAGTTGCTGATGATGTACCACATGTGGCTATCTCCTTTGACCACACCCATTAGATATGGTGCCTACACCACCAGGATACATGTCCTTTTCGTTTGTTGGGTCCTTTCCGTTCTGGCCTTAGCGACTTTAGTGTTTTTTATTGTAACTCCCCAGAAAAAAGACAATAATGTGCTATTTGCCATTGGCTATGCCTGTCTTGTTACAGTGTATTCTATTCCAGTGCTGGGATTTATGAAACTGTTTCTGCATCTTGTCAGATCAGGGTCCAGAGAAAAGATTGGGGAATACAGAAAATCACTTCATGAGAATTGGAGAGAAGACAACGTAGTGTTGAACATAAATATTCCAGAAGATAGGCAGGCTGTAAACCAAAAGAGCAATGTGTTGTCCAATGTTTCAACAGTGAATCAATCACGGTACAAATATTTTTCCGATCAATTTCACATGTATTATGACAGCAAATGAATCTCAGTACAAGTCATTCTCAGATAAGTTTCACTCCATTGCCTCTGTAAGCAAGGATACTGAGATGAGCCAAACAAACTATCCTGACTTTCACAGTGCTTTTACTGTAACTGAATCACAGGATGATACTTTTTTAAATAATCTCCCATCAGATGTGTCCATGGGCAAGCCTTTGTCATCACATGGTAACTCTGAGGATCCTAGTTTCCAATCTATTCTATCAGACAGAGATGCTGAATCAAGCAGCCTGAAATTTTATCACTTGTCAAGCTCTTCTCTTCAAAAATCCAGTACTGAAGAAGAAAATCTGATGAAGACACCTTCACTCCAAAAGACTGAGACTGATGAAGAAATCTTGATAAAGACAACTTCACTCCAAAGGCCAACTACTATGGAAAAGGGTTTGAAAAAGTCTTCTTCACTTCAAAAGCCTCACCTTGAGGAAGTGATTTTAGCAAAGACTTCTTCACTTCAAAAGCCAAGCTCTGAGGAAGAAACTTTGATAAAGGTCTCTGACATTCTTCATGAAAAATCACAAAATAAAGTCTCCATTACCTCTTGCAAACCTCTGAGCAAAATTGAGGTAGATAAACCCAAGTCTAATTCTGTGGAGCTTCTAATATCTTCACCAGAGATGACTGCCAGACAAGTAGCACAAAATATTGTGACTTTTGTGAGAAGAGCTTTCCATGAAGCTGAGGATGCTACTTTAAGGAAGAAGTACAGTGAAACCATTGAGTGTGTGCAAAAATGTTTGGAGGTGCTGTACTTTGTCTTAAAGGAAGAATTACTACCTCGCCTTAAATGTGGAATAAACAATTCAAAAGGTATTGGAATTAACATGCATTTTAAACGATATTTTTGGTTATATTATATCACATCTTAGGAACATTTTGATATTATTATCAAGCATGATTTATGGTATATAATTCTGAAATATGATATAAAATTAAATCTTTTCTCGTAGGTGAGGAAATAGTTTTTCTTACTGAAGATCAACAGAGAAGTGTCATTTTAAGCATGATGAACCTTGTCATAGAGAGAGTGGCAGTGCATTCTAACCTCTCCACAGGGATGGTTTTAATGATTTGTGAAGAACTTCTTAGTTATTCAGGTATGTGTCTGTTAAAAGTATAGTTATATCCCCAGTAAAAAGAAATACATATAGCTGGTATGAACTGCTCAATTTATTTCATTTTAAAGTTACAAAGAACCAGAGAGGAAACTTAAGAATTCACAATTAAATGTTCTTATTGAAAATTTACTTAGCTTTTTAACTTGACAATAAAGAAGTTAAAATATACATATGTATATTGAAGGGATGTGTGAGCGTGACAAACAACATGCAGTTGTGTCCAGCAGATATCATGAAAATCCAGGTATGTAGCTATAGGTCATTGTTTCTGTTAAATTGTTTCTCTGATCCTTTCATCAGTGGTACTGTTTTTTATCCTTCTATATTTGATACTTTATATTGAAGTTAAAAATTTGGAGAAGCCTATGGAATCCTTCATCTTCAAGGTCATTCAGTCAGCTTGTGAAACAATTTATCAAACACCAGTGTGCCTGCACACCAGGCAATATCTGTCTAAGCCTTATTCCCTAAAAAGTGCTATTCAGAATGTTATAGAAGGAGACATTGCCAAGGATCATGCAGTCTACAGTCTGTGTTGTGACATCATTGAAGAAGCAGAACAGGAAGTGACATCAGAACATCAAGTTCCTGAAAACGTTTATCTGGAATTCTGCATCAAACGGACAATACTGAGAAGGTTAAAAAAGATATGTAACAGTGGGGTTTTGTTACCTGATGATGAAACAAATCTAGCAGAAGTCAGATCCAGGCTGTACAGAAAATGGCACCGGGAGGGGCTAGAACAGGAGATGATCTACAGTGGACTACTTGCAGAAGTTCTCCTCTTGAAGTATGCAGAAAGTTTAGACCAGAACGGGGTCCTGAAGTTGTGTGACATTCTACAGAATGAAGCTGATTTCCAGTATATGCAGCAGATGGTCAGAAGGATACTGATTATAGAAATAGAGAGGAATTTAGACTTAACTGCATTTTCCTTTGTTTCCTCTAAAGAATGCCAGCAAGATTTCGAAAGTGAAATTGAAATTAAGGTAATGCAAACAGCAAATATGTGTACTGGTACATACTAATGTAGTGCTTTTTCCTTTTATATATAGTGTTCTGATTTCATTCTTGACTGTCACCATGTAGAAATTACTCTATTCATTAGATGAACAGGACATTTGTGTCTTTGAGGAAAACTCTCGAGACTTTGACCCCCAGAGTGATCTACGAAGAACTTCTACAGCGTAGGGGAAGCTTCCTTGTATCCAGCATGCTGCAGGAATTACAACATGAAGAAATGTTGAAACAAGCCATAAAGGTACTTCTTTTACATCAAGACAAGAAGCAGGGTGATATCCTGACTTAATATCTGAAAGAAACTACAGTCAATTTGACAGAAAATGAGAAGTTAAGAAATATCTCTTACAGGACAGTGTTGTCATTACTGTTGACAGAGATGAAACAGATATGGAACTTGCAGATATAAAAGAACTCAAAAAAGGTAATGCTTTAAAAGTACTGGTTCTGATCATTAATCTACATTGTCACTACATGTATATAGCCAAACACTGAATATAAAAATCACAATGATTTCAAAAACTTAAATACTGTTATTGAGAAGACTCTAAAATATTTCATGATTTGTTACATATTTATCTGCATGCAATCATAGTGTGGACCAATAACCTTACTACATGTATCTATTAGAAGTGTGCTCCATTAACTTTATTCACTTATAATGAGTTCATTTTCAAGGAAAATTGATCGATACATTGTGAACTTAGTGTTAAAATCATTGTGTAAATTTCTCTATCTACCCTAAACATGATAAAGTCGGTGCATTCATTTCAGATTTGGTTCCACTTCAACGATACCTGAAATTTTTGGAAAGCATAAAGATCCACAGAAAACTGTCCTCAACTTTCTTCCACACATCATGGAAATATCACAACCATTTCACCTTAGAGGCTTTCCAAACTCTGATGGAATCTGCTCTGATGCTCACAGAAGATTCCGTGGACAAGACACTAACACCCAAAATCTTGTACGAACTTGAATGGGATATGACCAAAGAGAACCGCAAACCACTGTCAGGGTACTGGATGTCTCTCTTTGCCATTTTTCTGTTAGCCACGACTCTATTTAGCCTGGTTTATGTGGTGATGACTGGTGCACAACTGACGGTGGAACAGGTCACTCAATGGTCAGCCTGTTTCCTTGTATCTGTGCTTCTGTATGGACTAATCATAGAATCGTGTTTATCCGTCTTCTTGATGAATTGAACAATTAAATAAAATACTCTCTAGGAGGTTGTACTTGAAGAAATTAAATTCTATCTTAAGTTTGTATATGTACCTGGTAGATCCATCAGTGACAGAAATGGGTAGTTGCATGTAAGAAATATTTTAGTGCTTGTCTTTTTTTTTATGCCCCCTTTCAAAGAAGGGAGGGCATATTGCTTTGCTGCTGTCTGTAGGTCAGTCTGTCTGTTGGTCCACCATCAGTTTCCATTCATTTTCTTTGCAGAGGTTGCACATATTGAAATGAAATATGGTTTACAGATTTATTATAAGAATATCTAGGTAGCCTTTTTTACAGAGTTATGCCCCTTGGACTTAAAAAATTCCAATTATTTGCAGTTTCCATTCATTTTCTTTGCAGAGGTTGCACATATTGAAATGAAATTTGTTATACAGATTTATAAAAACATATACATCAATTTCCTGGTTTGGGTACACTTGAGCCATTTTAGATAAAGTTATTCCCCTTGGACTTACAAAATTCCAATTATTTTGGGGAGGGGCATAAGTGTTTTACAAACATCTCTTGTTCTGGTTTATTTGTTAGCTCTTTCAAAAAAACATTCCTGGTACTCTTGCATCTATTTATAGAAAACCATTGTTGAATGTTTAAAGTCATAAAATTTAAGTATGATTAAAATTTACAAGATGGATTGATGTAGGAGTTGTTTAATTTTCTAAATATGAGAGTCTATACTCTTTTAAACTATTAAATCTGACATTTGGGAAAAGCATAGGTCAGAGGAGTATCAATTTAGACTTATTGTTTTTCATTTATGAAATTAAAACTGTAGTACCTAGAATGTGAGGTATGAGAATTTTATGAGTGTGCCACTTAATGTGTTTAAACAGCTAAACCCACCTTTATATAATCTGAGGTCGAAATTAAATTTGGAAACTGATTAGAATGTCTAGATGACTGGTACTGGCATGGTTCACAATCAATCTTTGGAATTTTGTTCTGTTCGAAATATATCTTTAAACGAAAGCAATAAACAAAATTGTTATCATCTAACGCTCTACCTCTCCCACGTGAAAACTGCTATTCCTGCTTCACAAAGTTTTTTCCCGCACAACAATAATATTCTATGTGACACAAATGAGAGGGATAAAATATGACCTACATACTCATCCTGAAAATATTTTGCCAAAATCTCTAGTCTACATTAATTTTTATAACTACCGGTAGACATATTAAGAAACTGATACTTAACTGAATTTAAAAAAATCAACTGCAATGTACCAATAAAATAAAACATTTATTCAGAGGCCTCTTTTTCACAATTCTGTTTAGCTCTTTCTTTGTAAGTCTTTAAGCTTTTCCCTCCATCATATGCTGTCCTTATTTTTTGGTACATGAAGTTAAAGAAAAATAAAAGATCATCATATTCTCCATCATAAACATCATCTACAAAGAGGTCATGGTAGTCCCGCACCAAATAATACACAGCCTCAATAGTGGATAAATATGTAGCTGGATTGTCCTTCTGGTGTCTCCAGAATTTAGTTTCTCTTGATTTCAGTTGAACACAGGTCAGGTCTGAAATCATAGTAAAAAGCTCTCTGCAGACAAAATTATTCATTTAAAATATCTTTTACTTAAACTTGTTCCTTAACAGAATTTTTAATGCTTTAATTTCATTCCTGAAATATATTTGATTTGCACCGCAGTTAAATATTTTGCTGGATTCTATGTTAATAATAATTGATGAATTGGAAACCTTACTTTTAGCATTAAAAAAATTGATCTGAAAAAGTATCAAACCCTCATGCATAAGGGAATTGGGAAGAAATACCTTTGAGTCTATCATCAGAAATTATCCCTTTAGTTTGATTCCAAGTACTATCAATAAAGATGGCTCTTTCAAAGGGAGGTTCCCTTTTAAATGTTTTCAGTTTCTTTAGAAATTCTTGATCCTCCTGCCCCTTTCTTTTCAATAAGGAAATGTCAGACTTTTCGTCAAGTTCAGACTCATCTGAGTTGTTTCCCTTGCCATCATCAGATAAGTTTCCTAACGTGGAACAGTTTCCATTCATATTGGGAGTTGAAGAGTCCTTTTGCTCCATCACTGGTGAGCTCAAGAAAGAATCTTTATCACAACCACTGATACCGTCTACATTTTGTTTGGTATCATTTGTTCTTAATGCATTTGCCATTTCGTCTAAAATTTGTGAATTTTTTCCAGGAAACACTAAAACTACCTACAAGAGAAGATATGTACTGTAAACTTGCAAATTTTTGTTTTGTACAATTTTGGTTGTTTTTGTAGTATGGAGCGACCGACCAATTTAAGTATAACCTCAAGAAAATGATTAAATTACTAAGTTCAGGCAGTATTGTGCTTGTATACTGGAAGTAACCACAAAATTCATTCTCCTCAAATCAGCGCTTTTCTGCAAACTTCAAAGATTTGACCCAACACAAAAAATAGGTGATATTTCACAGTAATCAATAATTAATTGCAGGGTCCGACACTCGTCGAAATTTGGTCTCGCCATTTGGGCAACCTTGGTATGATCACAGATTGCCCGAATGAATTTCAGGTCATCCAAATAAAATATAAAAGAAAACAAAACTCAATGTGCAATTGTTTAAAATTTGTTAATATAATTAACAGAAGTTGTGTTTTTCAATTTTGTATTAAAAATGTAAACCAGACATTTCTGGAATGATGTCTTCCAGTATTTTATCAAACAAAAATATAAGCAGAATGATGATTGATCAGACATGCAGAATACAATTTTAAGTTTGTAGTTTAAGGAGGCTCATTACACCACTTTTTGATGACGTACTACACAAAAAAATAAACCTCCATTGTGTCGACCGGTTTCCTCTGGGGACGAATTGTACAGGTACCTCTATAATATGACCCTGACCTTTAAAACGCTTTAAAAATAGATGAAACATGAGGTGTTTAAAAAGTGAAAATAAAGTAACGGATTCATAATGCATAAACCAAGAAGAATTGCTTTTGAGCAGAAACAAAAGAAAACAACAGTCAAATCTTCGCCAAACAAGTAATGTCGATCAATTTCATAGCGATGCATGCAGTGAGCTCTATCAATCAATGACGTGTTTGTATGGAGGAAATTCGAGTTAAAATCTACACCCTTGTTGAAATTAAAAATTTATTTACTTGCAATATTTACTGTGTTGGTGTTAATTTATATATCTGCTTTATTGATTTTAAAGTATACTCTGGCAATTTAAAGCTTTGTTCTGCATTTTAAATGTAATGTCAAACGTTCCTTCGTGTTTTGAGTCTTGGGTAATTAGGAAAGATAACTCTTGAAAGTGGACTTTTTATTCCAAATATTTTTTAAATTGGTTTTTTCATTTCGTTTAAACATTCTTCATTCAATTTGACACATGTAATTCATTGAAATACATTCCTTGTCTCTTCAGAACTCATTTTCTTAATGTTATATGCATAGATTAAAAAGATAATGACATTGATTGTTTTTTTTAATTAGGAGAAAATTATTTTTTCTAATAAAATTATTATTACGTATTATGAGGTATTTTCCCTGTGTGTACTTGTCTTAAGAAGATGCCCATCGTTTGACACTGAAAGTTAAGAAATTCTGTTAATAATAAACTTGAAATAAAACATTTCACTAAAATTAGACAAAAACTAAAAATTTCTATAAACAAGATGTGTTTGTGAAACACTATGCACCCGGTGGTAACAAAGCTCAAAAAAACTTTTTTGCAGATAAGTCACAGTCAAGGTCACAAGGTCATCGACTTGGTGTCATTTGAAAGAACTTCATCAGTGGAGTATGCATACCAAATATGAAGTATCTATCTCTCATGGTTCAAAAGTTATGGCGAAAAGTCTAAAAAGCTATTTATAGCATATAGGTCACAGTCAAGGTCAAAAGTTCATGACCTTGGTGTCATTTGAAAGAGCTTTACTAGTGGAGTATGCACATCAAATATGAAGTCTCTATCTCTCATGATTCAAAAGTTATGGCGAAAGTTCGAAAAAGCTATTTTTAGCATATAGGTCACAGCCAAGGTCACAAGGTCATTGACCTTGGTGCCATTTGAAAGAGATTCATTGGTCGAGTATGCATACCAAATATGAAGTCTTTATCTCTCACGGTTCAAAAGTTATGGGGAAGGTTAAAGTTGACAACAGACAGACAGACAAACAGATAAACAGACAAACAGACAGGACAAAAACAATATACGCCTTGGATCTATCGATCCAGGCGCATAAAAATATTTATGATATCAATACCCCCATCTGGATATTTGAAATCTACATTATAAGTGGTGCTGTATTGAAATCTAAAATAAACTGTGGATGTAATGAGCCACCTTAAAACATTCATTTTCACTTATCACATGAAGCCCTACATAACAGGGTTCAAATAACCATGAACTGAATTAACCAGGTGTGATATTACAGTGGACACCCAACATGGCTGTCTAGCAGCAGAAAACGATCATCAGTCTGATCAGAAGATCAGAAAGTAGTAGGGGGAAATGCAAGATGTTACAATGATGATAATTACTCTTTATATTTAAGGTGATTGTTGACATATTTTATATCTCAAATTAAACTTTAATAAAGACTTTTGGTAAAAATTGCATCAGCTGATTGATCGAACAGATTTGGCAGGAAGAAAAATCTACGCGGCTGCAATTTGAACATGTTGAAAGGGTTGGTTTTGTTACAGGAAAATATGTTTTCAAAGCCTTATGAAGTTTATTTTAAAATATTAAAGATCATTATTAAATATTCCCAACCTTTCCAAGGTCGTCATTTGGGCGAGCCAGACTAAAAATCAGGTCGTCCGAAATCATTTCTGGATGGAAATGACGAGGTGACAAGCGCGAATGTCGAACCCTGTAATTGTACTCTTGATGTACATAAACATGTACATGTATTATCATTGATAATTAACCTGACATTATCTAATGTCATAAATGTAATATATGAACAAGTCCTATGTGAAATTATCTGGAAATATCCCACCTTACTCCTGTCCGGATAGTCTGGAATACAAGGATAGGTATACACATGGACGTCCTCCGCAGCCAGAACTGCAGCATGGGCCGATGTACTCTTACCATCACACTCATTGGGATGTTTGATGATGTCAATCTTTAAAGGTAGCTACAAGGAGGAAAGAAAGTAAGGAACATCTTGTGTGTCAGAAGCTGATAATGGATTTTCCGTTTGCTCATTTTTAAAAAAGATCTGATTAAAATCTGAGCCTCATTGCTTCTTTTTAATAGTCAAAGTATGTCATTTACAAGTTGACATATAGTTAAAAGGAGCAACAAGGATCTGATTTTAATCAGAGATATTTTATTAAATTTTATTATAAATTTCTCAGATACTCTGGGGTTTCTGTCTTACCTTCACTTTTGGGATAAGATCCTCTGTACCCTTAAGTGGCACAAAACAATTGTAGCAGTAAAATTTTCTCGACTTTAAACATTTTGGGCATATGCTTCGTTTTTCCAATGTGTTCAAAAATTCTGAGGATGAAATTTTTAAAGCCTGAAACGGATTTTCTTCCATCTGAAATGAGAAAAATTTACGTGTAAAATCATGATAATCATATAAAAATACACACAATCATTCAAAATAAATAATCTGGCTAAATTGTCATACGAAAATGTGCAGTAGATTATTGTGTCATTCTGGTTTTCTTGAGCAGTTGCCACCTGTATGTCTCTTTAGAGTAAATTCGAACGGTTCCGGATGCTAAACATGACTGTTTTTTAACTTCGATTTATTCAGGGATTAGATTAATCATTGGCAAGATAACAAAACAACAAAAATTATCTGAAAAATTATGTTGTCACCGTATGTCACACAATGTTTGAAGCAATTTCTCGAATATTGCACTTACCAGAATGTCACAGCTGAAACCGTTCACACTTTGACAAATAAGCGTTTAGAAGCGTTTGATATATCAAACTCAGAACAGTTCCTTGGGAACAAATAAAAAAAATAATTCAGTGTAATAAAATTTATGCTCTTTATATTATTAACGTATAATTTACTATAATTGAAGAAATTTATGTTATTTTCATGATTATTATTGAATATATTGTCAGAGGGGCTTAAACGTCCATTCGTAGTCTAATCCGCTTAGAATGTAACGCACCTTTGTTTATTTCATGGCGGCGATTACAAAGAACAGAAGAAGGCGCACTGTTGATCTCAGATGATATCGGATACTAACTGACTAAGTGAGATTACCCAAGAGAATTGTAAGTAAATGTATGTATCAGGGTTATTATAAACTAGGCAAGATTAATTAACTCAAGTGTAAATACACTATAGTTAAAGATTGAACAAACAGTGAGTACTTGTAAGATGGGTGGGGCAGAGGTGTTCATAATCCGAAATTCCTCTGACTCTTACCCCCGCTTTTTATATTGTGACTTGTGTGTGTGTTGGGGGGGGGGGGGGAGAAATATAATATAAAAGCGGGAGTTAGAGTCGGAGGAATCTTGGATTTGTACTCACCCAGACAGTACACAAACTCAGAGAAATGTACACATCCAGACAGTACACACTGAGTGAAAAGTACTCACAGTACAGGACACATACCCAGTTACAAGTACTCACTCAGAAAGTACAATTATACTCATTGACAAGTACTCATTCAGGCAGGCCACATGTACCCAGTGACAAGTACTCACTCAGACAGTACTCAGTGACAAGTACTCACTCAGACACAAACTGAGTGACAAGTAGTTACTCAGACAGTACACATATTCAGTAACAAGTACTCACCCAGACAGTTCACATACTCAGTGACAAGTGCTCACTTAGGCAGGCCACATGTAACAAGTGACAAGTACTCACTCAGAGCTCAGACAGTACTCAGTGACAAGTACTCACTCAGACACGTACTCAGTGACAAGTACTCACTCAGACAGTACACATACTCAGTGACAAATACTCAGACAGTACACATAATCAGTAACAAGTACTCACTCAGGCAGATCACATGTACCCAGTTACAAGTACTCACTCAGACAGTACACATAATCAGTAACAAGTACTCACTAAAGCAGATCACATGTACCCAGTTACAAGTACTCACTCAGACAGTACACATACTCAGTGACAAGTACTCACTCAGGCAGGCCACATGTACCCAGTTACAAGTACTCATTCAGACAGAACACATACTCAGTGACAAGTACTCACTCAGACAGTACACATACTCAGTGACAAGTACTCACTCAGCAGTACACATACTCAGTGACAAGTACTCACTCAGGCAGGCCACATGTACCCAGTTACAAGTACTCACTCAGGCAGGCCACATGTACCCAGTTACAAGTACTCACTCAGACAGTACACATACTCAGTGACAAGTACTCACTCAGACAGAACACATTCTAAGTGGCAAGTACTCATTCAGACAGGCCACATACTCAGTGACAAATACTCACTCAGGCAGGCCACATGCACCCAGTTACAAGTACTCGCTCAAACAGTACACATATTCAGTGACAAGTACTCACTCAGACAGTACACAAATTCAGTAACAAGTACACACCCAGACAGTACACATATTCAGTGACTAGTATTCACTCAGACAGTACACATACTCAGTGACAACTAAACGCCCAGACAATTCACATACTCAGTGACAAGTACTCACCCATACACATACACCGTGACAATAACTCTCCCAGACAGTACACATACTCAGTGTCAAGGACTCACTCAGACGGTATACATACTCAGTGACAAGTACACACCCAGACAGTACACATAGTCAGTGACAAGTCCTCATTAAGGCAGGCCAAATGTACCCAGTTACAAGTTCTCACTCAGACAGTACTCAGTGACAAGTACCCACTCAGAACATACTCACTGAAAAGTACTTACACAGACAATTTACATATTCAGTAACAAGTACTCACCCAGACAGTTCACATACTCAGTGACAAGTACTCACTCAGGCTGGCCACATGTACCCAGTTACATGTACTAGTGCTGCACTGATAATTGAAAAACATTGATTGTTGACGAAAAAATGCTACTGATTCCGATGATCGATTATTGTTTTTCATAATCGATCATCGGAAACGTTCTAATTAATATAATATATTATGTATTAATTATCATTTATCAGCAAATTATACAAGTACATCTTTTTTTCTTGCTTTCTAATTTATGTATTAGTTGGAATCTCCAGGATATTTTAATGCTAACAGTGCCTGATTAATGATTCATATGGACAGGCATCACACCATTCCCCATACTTATGTGTTACAAAGCAAACTAGCACAAAGCAGAGGTGATTAAGAACCAAAAGGTGCATTATATAGAAAGTGGAAAAGAAGATAAAAAACAAAGAAAACAATATATTATATATTTATATATCCGCGATTAAGAAATAATATGAATTCATTTCTATAGTCTGTTTTTATATACAAAACTATGACATCCGATTATAATCGGTAAAATCGCATCAGAAGCAGTAACCGATTCCAACCGATGATCGATTATAAAATTGAACCGATGTCTAGGGGTGGAACGATATACCGATACACCGATACATATCGATATTTTTCTCTAAGATACGGTTTAAGATACAAGCATTCAAATATCGGTACGAAACGATACACGAACGACCTATCCAAAAATTGAAAATGAAAGTACATGTCCTTGGAAAATGGCGGCTTGTACGAAGCGAAGAGATGATTTTGATTATTGAAAACACACTTTAGAACTAATAAGTCGTTGTTTATGGGTAAAATGTTTTCACTTTGAAACAGCCTCGGAAGATTGGACAAGAAAAGTTCAGTATGTAATGCGTGCTTTACACAGAAAGCATCGTTTCCAGAGCATTTGACATTATTATTTGTTAGTCCATCTCGTATTTCTTTTGTAATCTCAGCTTTGCTACAGACCTTCAGCAATTAATAAAAATGTAAATGTGATGTTTTTAAATAAATTTTAGTCAGTGTTCTCTGCTGAACTACACAACTATTTGTAAACAACTTCTTAAAAGTAATTTGGTAATAATAATATGTACATGTATGTTTGTTTTTGTAAAATTTTAGTGAATGACATTGATGAACTTCAAGTATTAATTTCAAAGCACACATGATTTGATATAGAATAATTTGTAGATTTAAATGTCAAGGCAAAAAATGAAATAAAGTACTTATTCTTTTGAATAGTTTTATAATTTATCATGTTGATTTAATGACAAGACAAGAAATGAAAAAAAATACTAATTTTTTAAAAATAGTTTATAATATATCAAAATATCGAGATACGTATCGTATCGTGCCAATATATCGAGATATGTATCGTATCGCAAGATCTGTGTATCGTCCCACCCCTACCGATGTCCCATCACTAACATGCACACACTCAGACAGTATACGTACTTTGTGACAAGTTCTCACTTAGACAGGCCACATACCCAGTTTCAAGTATTCACTCAGACAGTACACATACTCAGTGACAACTACACACCCAGACAGTACACATACTCATACTCAGTGACAAGTACTCACCCAGACAGTACACATACACAGTGACAATAACTCTCCCAGACAGTACACATACTCAGTGACAAGGACTCACCCAGGCAGAATACATACTCAGTGACAAGTACACACCCAGACAGTACACATAGTCAGTCAGTGAAGAGTACCGTTTCATAAATAACAAATTTTCGTCGCAGTTTTCTCAGCAACTACTCATCATAGATAATTGAAATTTTAACACAATCTTCTCTAAGGCATACCCATATGGTGGGATACAATTTTGTTTAAATCCGATATCAATTTCGTGTTTGTCTGTGCGCCTGTCTGTTTCATACATAACAAAGTTTCGTCGCAGTTTTCTCAGCAACTACTCATCGCAGATGCTTGATATTTTTTAACACAATCTTCTCTGAGGCATGCAATACATTGTGATAAATTTTTGTTCAAATCCAATGTCAACTTCCTGTTTGTTTGTGCGCCTGCCTGTTTCATACATATAAAATTTCGTCACAGTTTTCTCAGCAACAATAACTTATCACAGATGCTTGAAATTTTAAAACAATCTTCTCTGAGGCATGCCATATGGTGGGATACATTTTTGTTCAAATCCGATGTCAACTTCCTTTTTGTCTGTGTGTCTGTCCGTTTCATACATAACAAATCTTCGTCGCAGTTTTCTCATTAGTTATTCATAGCAGATGCTTTAAATTTTATTACACTCTTTGTTGCCATATGGTGGGATTAATTTTGATATGAATCTGATGTCAACTTCATATTTTTCTGTACATCGGCCTGTAATTGAACTTGTGTATATTAACATGATAGTGCTTATTTACATCAGAGCGGGGTTATTACTAGTGAGCATTGGCTCACAGATTTCTTGTTGTCAAAGACTAAAATATGAAACGACAGTACCATAACTCTAAGATCCTTAAGCTACAAAGTAATAGGGCTGGGTATTGGCCCGAGATTTCGTATTGCGATATATTGCGATATTTTAAACTGTATTGCAATATGTATTGCAATATTTTCAATGTAATTAAAATGGCATTTTCTTGCCATATTTACTTAATTTACATGCAGAACGTACATAACTATGATAAATAACCAACACGGAAAAAAATCTTGTTGATTTCATTTAAGTTATGCTCTGAAATGGTCCCACAAAACAACTTCTGACTTACTGTTTGGCTTAATAACAAACTTTCATAACTCCATTTTAATATTTAATGACAAAATTCCTTAATCTATACATATTGCCAATATATCGATATTACAAAATCGTATTGCGATACGATATTTTTTGTGATTGTATCGCAATATATTGAAATATCGATATTTTTGCCCAGCCCTACAAAGTAACATATGACATGTGTTTGACCGTGCATAACTTTTGCAAGATTTTGAGGAAGGAGG